CAATTACATGTGGCCCATTGTTTACCTTGTTACCTGGCAAGTGTAACCGGTGTGAAATGGCTAGCTAGTTAGCGGTGCACGCTAGTAGCATTTCAATCGGTGACATCACTCGCTCTGAGACCTTGAAGTAGTTGTTTCCTTTGCTCTGCAAGGGCCCAGGTAGGGGCGAGGAGAGGGACGGAAGCAACACTGTTACACAAAGTCCAAATGGGCAATTCAAAAAACTGTCAGTCAATGTGAGATCATGAATATAAGCTCCCCGCCCACTCAGCCTGTTCTTTCAGGCTTCCTGATAGTTAAAGATGCGAGAAAATATACAATTTCTAAAATTCTGAGCATTTTAATAGTGTAAAGATATTATGGGTGATGTGTTGGTCATTCAAAGGCTAGTTTTACTTAGGAAATTGGATGACTGTGCGGGACCTTTAAGGGTTAAGGTTAGTTTTAGGTAAGGTTTATAGTTAAGGTTAGGGTAGGGGTTAAAGTTAGGTTTAGGGTAGGGACGCCCCAAGGATACAAAATAGCCCTAACCTTGAGTTTCTACTATTTTCTGTGACAGTGTTAAAATGACACTTTACTGAAAACCATTGAAAACTGTTGTATGAATCCAGAAGTACACCTTACGGTTAAAATATGCTTTATGTAAAGCTTATTTTGCCTCCTACCTTGTTGTTGTACCTGTGGGCCTCACCGCATCCACGCCCTTTCCAGCTTGCAGTCACCGGGGAAGGATCTCTGAAGCCGGGCGCGACTGACACGACTGTCTGCAACTAGCTAGCTATCTCTCTAGCTAGATAACTGTTACTGTAACCACTATCGGTACATCTTCTTCTCATATGCCTATATCCACGTCAGTACGCATGCAATTAAACCTTAGCTAGTAATACCAAAGATGTTTGAATAATACGAATCACATGTCCAGCAAAGTGAAACACAGAATACTGATCCATTCATAACATGTTGACCATTTCCTCATCGACAGCACGTGCAACCAGCAGATGGCAATGAACATCATATTAGCCGATAGGAGGTGTACTGTAGCTGGGTAACAAACATTCAATGTCTACAGTAAAGTCGTTTGTGTTGGATCGTGTTGGATTCACCGACATTCTACACTGAACGAAAATATAAACGCTACATGTAAAGTGTTGGTCCCATGTGTCATGAGCTAAAATATCCCCGAAATGTTCCATACGCATTGAAGTTTTTTCTCTCAAATGTTGTGCACAAATTTGTTTACATCCCTGTTAATTAGCATTTCTCCTATATCCACCTGAAATATGTGGCAAATCAAGATGCTGATTAAATAACGTGATCATTACACACAGTACCAGTCAAAAGTTTGGACACACCTACTCATTCAAGTGTTTTTCTTTATTTTTACTATTTTCTACATAGTAGAATAATAGTGAAGACATCAAAACTATGAAATAACACATATGGAATCATGTAGTAACCAAAAAAGTGTTAAACAAATCAACATATATTTTAGATTTTAGATTCTTCAAAGTAGCCACCCTTTGCCTTGATGACAGCTTTGCACACTCTTGGCATTCTCTCAACTAGCTTCACGTGGAATGCTTTTACAACAGTCTTGAAGGAGTTCCCACATATGCTGAGCACTTGTTGGCTGCTTTTCCTTCACTCTGCGATTCAACTCATCCCAAACCATCTCAATTGGGTTGAGGTCGGGTGATTGTGGAGGCCAGGTCATCTGATGCAGCACTCCATGATTCTCCTTCTTGGTCAAATATCCCTTACACAGCATGGAGGTGTGTTTTGGGTCATTGTCCTGTTGAAAAACAAATGATAGTCCCACTAAGCGCAAACCAGATGGGATGGCGTATTGCTGCAGAATGCTGTGGTAGCCATGCTGGTTAAGTGTGCCTTGAATTCTAAATAAATCACTGACAGTGTCACAAGCAAAGCACCCCCACACCATCACACCTCTTCCTCAATGCTTCATGGTGGAAACCACACATGCGGAAATCATCCGTTCACCTACTCTGCGCTCACAAAGACACGGCGGTTGGAACCAAAAATCTCACATTTGGACTCATCAGACCAAAAGACAGATTTCCACCGGTCTAATGTCCATTGCTTGTGTTTCTTGGCCCAAGCAAGTCTCGGCTTGTTATTGGTGTCCTTTAGTAGTGGTTTCTTTGCAGCAATTCGACCATGAAGGCCTGATTCACACAGTCTCCTCTGAACAGTTGATGTTGAGATGTGTCTGTTACTTGAACTCTGTGAAGCATTTATTTGGGCTGCAATTTCTGAGGTGCAGTTAACTCTAATGAACTTATCCTCTGCAGCATAGGTAACTCTGGGTCTTCCTTTCCTGTGGCGGTCTTCATGAGAGCCAGTTTCATCATAGCGCATGATGGTTTTTGCGACTGCACTTGAAGAAACTTTCAAAGTTCTTAAAATTTTACAGATTGACTGACCTTCATGTCTTGAAGTAATGATGGACTGTCATTTCTCTTTGCTTATTTGAGCTGTTCTTGCCATAATATGGACTTGGTCTTTTACCAAATAGGGCTATCTTCTGTATACCACCCCTACCTTGTCACAACACAACTGATTGGCTCAAATGCATTAAGAGGGAAAGAAATTCCACAAAATAACTTTTAACAAGGCACACCTGTTAATTGAAATGCATTCCAGGTGACTACCTCATGAAGCTGGTTGAGAGAATGCCAAGAGTGTGCAAAGCTGTCATCAAGGTAAAGGGTGGCTACTTTGAAAATATATTTAGGTTTGTTTAACACTTTTCTGGTTACTACATGATTCCATATGTGTTATTTCATAGTGTTGATGTCTTCACTATTATTATACAATGTAGAAAATTGTAAAAATAAAGAAAAACCCTTGAATGAGTAGGCGTGTCCAAACTTTTGACTGGTACTGTAGGTGCACCTGGTGCTAGGGACAATAAAAGGCCACTCTAAAATATGCAGTTTTGTCACACAATACAAGGCCACAGATGTCTCAAGTTTTGAGGGAGCGTGCAATTGGCATGCTGACTGCAGGAATGTCCACCAGAGCTGTTGCCAGAGAATTGAAGCCGCCTCCAACGTTGTTTTAGAGAATTTGGCAGTACGTTCAACCGGCCTCACAACCGCAGACCACGTGTATGGTGTTGTGTGGGCGAGCGGTTTGCTTATTTGACCGTTGTGAACAGAGTGCCCCATGGTGGTGGTGGGGTTATGGTATGGGCAGGCATAAGCTATGGACAACGAACACAATTGCATTTTATCGATAGCAATTTGAATGCACTGAGATACAGTGACGAGATCCTGAGGACCATTGTTGCGCCATTCACCAGCAGCCATCACCTCATATTTCAGCATGATAATGCACGGCCCCATGTCGCAAGGATCTGTACACAAATCCTGGAAGCTGAAACTGTCCCAGTCCTTTCATGGCCTGCATACTCACCAGACATGTCACCCATTGAGCAGGTTTGGGATGCTCTGGATCGACGTGTACGACAGCGTGTTCCAGTTCCCGCCAATATCCACAAACATCCTAAAGCCATTGAAGAGGAGTGGGACAACATTCCACAGGCCACAATCAACAGCCTGATCAACTCTATGTGAGGGAGATGTGTCGCGCTGCATGAGGCAAATGGTGGTCACACCAGATACTGATTGGTTTTCTGATCCACGCCCCTAACTCTTTTTTTTAAGGTATCTGTGACCAACAGATGAATATCTGTATTCCCAGTCATGTGAAATCCATAAATTAGTGCCTACTGAATTTATTTCAATTGACTGATTTCCTTATATGAACTGTAACTCAGTAAAATCTTTAAAATTGTTGCATGTTGCGTTTATATTTTTGTTCAGTATCGTTTGGCTGACTTGTATAGTTGAACATTGGGAGAATAAACGATTTATGATTTGACTATGTTATGTAGTTATATTCTCTAAACCAGATATAGAAACCGTTCTCTCTGACCTGCAGATTAGGTTTTTGTCCCCTGTAGCTCAGTTGGTAGAGCATGGCGCTTGCAACGCCAGGGTTGTGGGTTCGTTTCCCACGGGGGGCCAGTATGAAAATGTATGCACTCACTAGCTGTAAGTCGCTCTGGATAAGAGCGTCTGCTAAATGACTAAAATGTAAAATGTAAATGTGAGGGCCATCTCGCACATTCTAAATGATAATTGATGATTTCTGTGTTTATTTCACACAATACTTATGACTATGAATACATGTTTCAATGCTCTATGGACACTGGCCTATTTTAGGCTTATTGTGGTATTTTGTATGTATTCGTACCAAAATCATCACATCATTTTACTGACCATATTTACGCTATTTCACACAGAAACCAAAGTGCAAGGATGTAACGTATTATTTTACTTTGAGAAATAGAAAAATAGTTACATTGTGTTAAAATAAGACAGCCCCATATTACACTAACAGTATAAACACTAAGCAATTTTATTATGACACCTCCTCACATCCCATGCAAGAAACACTACTGTACTTCCGTAAACACAACACCTATTAATGTTCCCCAAAACACACATAAGACACTAACCCTCTCCCATCCAACTTTTTATACATTTATAAATGTGTTACATTATTGTCATCAAAATTATCAATTTATACTGTAGTACAAGAGTTTGGAAAAATATAGTCTGTCAACAAAGTGGTTGGATCATGCTGTCTGAGAGAACAAAGACAATTTACATAAAGTTATATTTTTCTTCCATTCAAACACCCCAGTTTGTTTCATTGTTTTTCAGTCTTCTGCCACTTTAAACAGAACATACAACATTTGATGGGACCTCTTTATTTAGGACAGACACATTTCTAACTGGCCAATAAGCAGGTTTTCCTTACATAAGTAAAGCAAAAGGTAATATGTAAAAAAAAACGAAAAGTAAGTAATTAATAGTTTTCCCTTTTTTCCCCTCTTCTCCATCACCCTATGACATAGAGCTGGAACTGAATGAGGTGCGGCTGTAGTTGGTGCTGCTGACAATGCTGTATCACTTGGAGGAGCCAGATGACCCCAGGTCCACGCTGCCTCTCCGAGAGCCCGCCCTCGACCCGGTCCTGGGGCCCGAGGTGGACCCAGGAGCGGAGAAGTTGCACAGACTACTGATCCCTCTGGAGGAGGCAGAGGCAGCCTGCAGAATCTTGACTCCTGTATTCTCCTCCACCAAGCAGTTATCCATCGCTTCTTTATAAGAGATCTTCAGCTTGGTCTTGGGGCAGGTCAGGTTCTTGGCATGGTGCCTCATGTCCTGGAGCTTCTGGGCCCCTCTTCCATCCAGCCAGCCCTCTTTGAGAGCTTCCTCGATGGTCCTCCTGCAGCCCAGCTCTGGGTCGTACAGGCCTCCGGTAACAAACTGGAACTCCAGGAAGCGGTGGCCCGCCTCATAGGGAAGCCAATTCTCCCTCATGGCCTCAGCAGCGGACATCTTGCGTTTACATTTGATGTCTTCAAACCCGATGTAGGCCTTCTGGGCGGGCTTCAGCCTGGTAGCCATGTCGTTCTCGATGATCCCCTGACGGGAGGCCTCCTGGGTGGACAGGCGCCGGCCATCGGAAGGGTTTACAATGCCTCCGGTGCAAGCCTGGGCCTCCAGTAGTCTCTGGGCAGAAATGCTGTCCACCAGCCCACGTTTTTGAGCCTCGGAGATGGAGATCTTCTCCAGGGCCTCCATGTCAAAGATGGCGCCCACAGGGCTCTGGTCCCCATCCAAGACCACAGCTTCAGCAGGGCCAGCCAGGGAGACAGAGATACTGCCGATATGCTTCAGGGAGCTGGGAGAGGAAGGGCCGTCGGGCTGGGTAGAGGAGCTGCTAGTGGTGGATCTGGTGATGGTGGAGCAGCCACCAATGGAGTTTCCAGTAGAGGAGCGTCCAATGGTAGAGCTGCCAATGATGGAGCTCGTCTTCTCAGCCTTGATGGAAGTAGATGATGTTGAAGTGATCAGTTGCGAGTAGGTGGTTGATGAAGACAGGGAGGATGAGGATGCTTCTGCTGATGTTGCTGCTGATGATGCTCTGGCTTTGGATGATGATGTTGATGATGAGGAGGAGGAAGACGAGGCAGAGGATCTGTTTGTTTTGGTCTTGCTAGTGATGATGTCAGCAAACTGCGTGAGAGTAATCATCTGCGATCTGTACTGGTCGTACAATGATTGGTCGATCACCCTCTTCTCCAGCAGCTCGCTGATGTCATACTGGATCCCCGTCTTTCTGTCGATGATGACCAATGGCGTGGATCCATCCTGGGTGGTGATAGTGATCTCGTCCCACTCACACTCTTGCTGTGACAGCTCCAGGAACGTCTCGTAGTCGATGAGCCCCTTGTCGTACGCTTCCTTCACCAACATCTCCTTATTGGTGTCTGGGTCTACAATCATCACACTCCTCTTCCTTAGAGTGATCTTCTGGGTGGTGGGCTGAGGCGGCTCCTTCTTCTTCTTGACGGAGAGGAGAACCAGGCCAGTCTTCTGGTCTATGATGCAGCGTTTCTTTAGCTGGAGGTAAGTCAGGTTGTCCTGGTTGTTGGGATCGAAGAAGCCCTTGGAGTCGTCCCCTTCGTCTTTCAGGATCTGGTTCATTTCCTTGCTGAAGTAGCCCTTCTTATAGGCAGTCACCACCTCGATGCGGTGGCTGTGTCTGGGGTCGATGATGCCCCCGTTGGCGATCTGAGCCTCCAGTAGACGGATCCCATGTCCCTTCTCGATCAGCCCCTTCTCTATGGCCTGGAACAGGGAGATGATCTTGTCCGTGCCTGGGTCTTTGTACCCGGTGACGGCCCTCTCTGCAGACAACAGTTTGTCTTTGAACTCCGGCCCAGCCAGGCCCCTCTTGTAGGCATTGGCCACGGTCAGACAGAGGTTGTTGACGGGGTCGATCATGAATCCGGAGGCGGCCTGGGCTTTGAGGAGCTCCAGGGTGGTGCTGGGCTTCAGTAACCCTTCCTTCATGGCCTGGTAGATGGACAAGGTCTTGTTGTTGGCCTCGTGGTAGACCCCCGCAATGCAGGTGGAGCCACGGAGGTACGACCTCAGCCGGTCCTCGATATCCTGGCTGGTCAGTTTGCCTTCCTTCAGTTGGTCCATGTCAGATTTCTCCAAGAGGTTAGCATCCATCAGGTCTGTGACAGACACCTCTCCCCTGAGACCCTTCACTGTCATGGCCTTCTCTGGGGCAGGGAGGATCAGGAGACCTGTGGTGGGTTCGGCCTTGCATCTCCTCTTCAGGGAGATGTAGCTGGCTCCCATCTGGGTGTCTGGGTCCAAGTAACACTCAGGTTGTTGTTTCAAGGCCCGGTACAGATCCTCGTCGATCAGGTCCCGGTCCATGGCTGCGTCTTTAGGGAGGAAGACACTGAGGACAGGGTCTATGATTCCCCCTACTGATTCTTGTGCCTGGAGCATCCGTAGAGCTGTGTCTCTATCAATCAGGCCCTTCCTCATAGCCTGGCCTACTGACAGGGGCTTGGTGGTGTTGGGGTCGCGGTACCCCAGACAGGCAGCCTCCGCAATCAGCAGCCTCTCTCTGTCCTCCTCATATACCACTCCTCTCCTACATGCCTCCTGCACTGTCATCTTCTCATTGGCTCTGGGATCCACTATGTGGCCTGTGGCAGCTTGGGCCTCTAGCAGCAAGGTGGCACTGACTTCAGAGAGGATATTGTCTCTCTTGGCCTCTGTGAGGGACATTTTACCTTGAGGGCCCACAGCCACACCAGAGATAACCCCAGTCCCCTTTAGATTGAGTTTGATGTCCACAGACACCTCGCGGACGGTCTTCTGACCCTTCAGGAGCTGTCCGTAAGTCACCTTGTTGATGACCCCACAGTCCAGCAGCTGCTTGGCCGTCACCATTTTGCGGACGCCATCAAAGACCAGCGTGGCAGGGTCCAGGTCTTTCTTTCCGCTCTCGTCCATCTGGGTGTGTTTGGCGAAGGCGTAGGGCTGCTCCCTGAGTTTCCTCAACTCTGCCTCCAGGGAGTCTCTGATGGAGGTGAGATCAGAGAGCTGGGTCTGGGTGATCAGCAGCCTGCTCTTATAACGCTCCTCCACCTCCCTCAGCTTTCTCATCAACCGCTCTATCTCAGTCTTCAGAGAGCCCCTCTCCTGCTCCAGCTTCTCCTTCTCTGAGTTAAACTGCCTCACCGCGCCCTCCTTGGACTCGTACTGGCCCTTCCAGTACAGGATGTCCTTCTTGACCTGAATGGATGAATGAATGGATGAATTGATGGATGAATAATACATGAATTAATTAATGGATCAATGGATGGATGGATGGATAAATGAAGGAATGGATTAATGAATCAAATTTAAAATACATATATAAGATTGCCTCTAGACAGCAAAGTGAAATCAACAATAAACACCTTCTTGTTATCCTCCTGCAGGCGCATTTTGATGCGTAACTCGGACTCAAGAGAGACTTTGATGTGGTTCAGCTCTTCCTCTAGCTTCTGGGAGCGAACTCTGTCCTGATTTGTCTGCTTAAGCTTCAACAGCAGAGCATCTCTCTCCATCACCATCTCATTGTACTGGGTCTGGGTGGACTGAATCAGACAGGATGTCTGGATGGGGAGAGATGGGGGGGGGGGGGGGGGGGGGGGGGGGGGGGGGGGGGAGAAGGGTCGAGGGAGAGAGAGAGGAAGAGAAGGAGGGAGAGGGACAGAGGGGTGGATGAGAGATAGACAGATAGACAGACGAAGGGGCAAAATATTAGCAGGTTAGCGTTTTTCATCATGAATCTTGTTCTTGAGGCAGGTCTGCAGAGTGGTCACTAACTGGCACAAAGTCATAAAATCTGATTTTAAACCTAACCTTAACCCTAACCTTAACCACACTGCTAACCCGAATGCCTAACGGTTCCCCTAAGCACATTTCTGTTTTCATAAATGTTTACAATATAGTCCATTTTGATTTTGCAGCTGGCCTATCTAAACGGAAATCACTCAGTTCTGCCTCCAGGACAAGACTCATGACAATAAACGTTCACCTGCAAAATATATATATATATTAGTTGAGTGATTCGTTTTAGAATAATAATTAATTATTTTCTTTAAAAATGTCACAGTATTCTGTGATTTGGCATTTACAATAAGAACATGTGACAGCGTGCTCTGTTATTGAAAAACAAAACACAGCTCCAATAACTTACCCACACATTGACAATGAGCAATTATCATTGGTCAATTAAAATGATATGAGTAAAGGAATAGATTACCAGAATTCCCCAACATGGAAACAATTCATACAGATATAAAGAGTGCAATTGGTTTCCTGTACATTCAAAGGAAATAGACAGATCCTGTAGACTAGGCCTGACTACTAGTTTACTAGACAAAGGAAAATCTATCTACTAATATTACTAAAGACATGAACACGACAATACACACAACTACTATGACAGAGACTAAATTAAGACCAGAGGACAAGACCAGTGATGATGTAGACACTGTGGATCATTGTAGACAAAACAAGCAAAGGCAAAAAAGCATGATGATTGGTAAATCAACAGAGGAAGTATCTAGTTGTGGGCAGGGGTGTGTGACAGCAGTTTGGTGAGGGCAAGCATATAGGATGCACAGATTGCGTTTGCATGAGTTTTCTTTCTTAAATCTTTCGATTGAAAATGCAAATCTCAACACATATAAGGATGCATGCCTTGGATGTGTTTCACAATAAACAAGCAAAGGCAGGCATCTACATGAGGTTTGCCAGCATGCAATAGAAACCATTGTCTGCAGCTAGCTAAAGCTATTGCACCAACTAACTAAATCAGTATAGTCTGATTTGGAGAAACACAAAACAGTCCGACATTAACCTCTAAGGTTCAAGACAAGTACCTCAAAGGCCTGACTCTGGAGTTGCTCTATCTCCATCCTGAGCTCTGCCACCAGGCTCTGGGTATCCAGGCTGCTTTTCGAGCTGCTCTTCAGCTGCAGCTCCAGGCCAGTGATCTGGGCCACCAGCTCGTCATCAGCCCCCTGTCTGGTCCTCAGCAGCTCCTCCCTCTCATGTTTCACCCCCCTCAACTCCTCCTCGAGCCGCAGTCGCTCTTTGGTCAGGGTCTGGGTCAGGGTCTGGAGACGCTCGAGTTCTACCGAGCTCTCGTTGAGCACTCGGCTCTTCTCCTCGATGGTCTTGTAGAGTGTTTCATTGCGGAGATTAGCCTCGCGGACCTTAGCCTGCTCCTGGAGGAGATGCTGTTGGAGTGACTTCAACTCGGAGCTCAGAGACGCCAGACGCTCCGTGGAGGCTTTGAACTCCTTCAACCTCCTCTCTAGCTCCTCCTGGAGTTTCCTGTGCTCCTCCTCGCCCCTCCTCCCCACGGTTTGGGCCTCCTCCTGACTGCGACGCAGGGTGGTGATGGTGCTGGTGTACTCCCGCATGGTGTGGGTGGTTTTCTGGAGCTCTGTCTCCACGTGCCTTCTCTTGATCACCTCCTCCTGGCTGGTTCTCCTCAAAGCCTCCACCTCCCCATCTAGCCTATCAAGAGTAGCCTGCAGCTCCTTGACACGTCCTTGTAACCTGGCTACACTCTGCTCTGCCTTGTTCTTCTCACTGCTCACCTTCTTAAACTCTGTACACATACTAACCAGCTCCTCCTCCACCTCACTCAGCCGGGTCACGGCCTGGGAGGGGGAGGTCTGCTTGCCCTGAATCTCCCCCAGGAGCAGCTCTATCCTGGTCCTCTCCTCCTCCAAGGCTCTCCTCCTCCTCTGCTCCTCCTCCAGGCTGTGTGTGAGGAGGACCAGCTGTCCGCTACTCTCCTTCAGGGCCTTGGTGAGCTCTGACACCTCCTCTCTATACTGACTACTGTCCTCCCCTTTCTGCCTGACTAATATCTCCACCTGCGCCTCCAGTTCCCTTCTCCTCCGCGCCTCCTCTGTGACCACAGACCTCTGAGAATGGGCCTCCTCCTCCGCCGTCTTCCTCTGCTCCTCGGCCTGACTCAGAGACACCTTCAGCCTCCTGAGCTGGTCCTCCTGGTCCCTCCTATCAGCCTCTAGCCGGTCACACTGCAACCTGATGCCCTGGTCCACCTCCTCCCTCTGGGCTGACAGGTGCTGGATGTTCGTCCTGCAGATGGTGATCTGGGACTCGTAGCTGAGCTTTAGGTTACTGATCTCCACACTGCACTGTCTCTTTACCTTAGACAACTCCTGCTCCAGCTCCTTGCAGTGTCGCACCTCCTCCTCCAGCTGCTTCCTTAACCTCTCTGCCTCCCTCTCCCGGTCCCCCACGCTCTTCTCTACCTCCATCTTTGCCCAGTTGGCCTCCTCCAACTCCTTCTGCCTACTCCTCAGCACCTGCTCGTGCTCATCCTGCTGCTCCCCATAGCGCTCATCCGCCATCCTCCTCTTCCTCTTCTCCTCCTCGATGAGGGAGGTGAAGCGGGCCACCTGCTCCTGCAGCTCCTTCAGTTGGCCGTGGGTGGAGGCCAGGGATTCCTGGGTGGCGCTGCACTGCAGGGCCGTGCTCCTCTTCACCTCCTCCACAGACAGGAGCTGCTCCTGCGACTGGGACAGCTCCAGCTGGTAGCGAGCTAATGCCTCCTCCAGAGAACTGTTCTTAGCGTTGTGGTCCTCAATGTCCCCTTTGAGCAGCCGTAGCTCCTCCTCCAACAGGTCGATCCTGGTGTTACGCATCTACAGGTGGAAAAGGAAGGATTAGGGTCAGGTGTGAGGTACAGTGGATAATAATGCAAAGTAAGATTTCCAATGTATTAATTGCAACTTGGCATATAAACTTGAAACTATAATGAAACACCTACAAGGTCTAAAACAGGGGTGTCAAACTCAATCAGCGCAAGGGCCATATTGAAAAAACACAACGAGTTTGTGGGCCAGACATACCCTATTAAAAAAATTTGCATACAACTGTGACCCAACTCGCTATTAATTTATTATAAAAAAATATGTCCCTTTATAATGTCCATTTATGTACCATCGTGGCGAAAAATATTGGCACCCTTGCACTTTTTTCAAGTAACTCACAATTTTCCATAAAAAATAAGTTGAAATTGACCAAAGTATTTGGTTTCCACAATTCTTTATTTCACTGTTAATATTACATAACCTTTTTTTTATTTTTTTTTACAGAACGTAATATATCCATTTAAATCAGAAAATCAACAGAAATGGCATTGACAAAATTATTGACACCCTAAACTAGGTCAAAATAACTGCAACCAAGCGCTTAGCTTCCTATAGCCATCAATGAGCTTCCTGCACCTCTGTACTGGCAGTTTGGCCCATTCTTCTTGTGCAACCTGCTCCAGTTCTCCCAGATTTGAAAGGTGCCTAGATCTCTCCACATGTTTTCAATGGGATTTAGATCTGGACTCATTGCTGGCCACTTCAGAACAGTCCAGCGTTTTATCTTGAACCATTCCTGGGTGCTTTTTGAAGTATCTTTGGGGTCATTGTCCTGCTGGAAGACCCATGACCTTCAACAGAGACCCAGCTTTCTGAAATTGGGTCTGACATGACACACTAAAATGCCTTGTTATTCTCCTGATTTCATAATACCATGCACACGTTCAAGTCACTCAGTGCCAGAGGCAGCAAAGCAACCCCAAAACATCACTGAACCTCATCCATGTTTCACTGTAGGGAAGGTGTTATTTTCTTTGAAGGCTTCATTTTGTTTTCTGTAAACATAGAGATTGTGTGCTTCACCAAAAAGCTCTAATATGGTCTCATCTGTCCACAGGACATTCTCCCAGAAGGATTTTGGCATGTTCAGGTGTATTTTGGCAAATTGCAGTCTGGCTTTATTATGTCTCCCACTCAACAGTGGGGTCCTCCTGGGTCTCCTACCATATAACCCCCTTTCATTGAGTTGGCGACAGATGGTGCGAGTTGAAACTGTCGTACCTTGTGTCTGAAGGTCAGCTTGAATCTGTGTGGCAGTTGATTGAGGTGCTTTCTCCACCATTCAAACAATCCTTCGCTGCAATCTTCCGTCAAGTTTTCTCTTGCGGCCACGTCCAGGGTAGTTGGCTACAGTGGCATGGGCCTTGATAACATTACTTACGGTGGAAATAGGAACATCAAGGTCTCTGGAGATGGACTTGTAGCCTTGAGATTGTTCATGCTTGGCTACCATCTTGTGTCTGACCTCCTCAGAGAATTCTCTGGTTTTCTTTATTTTCTCCATGCTCATTGTGGTACACACAGTGGTTGAGTGATTTTTATATTGCCGGCACCTCAAATAAAATAAAATCAAATCAAATTTTATTGGCCACATGCGCCAAATACAACTTACAGCCCTTAACCAACAGTGCATTTATTTTTAATAAAAAAAGTAAAATAAAACAACAACAAAAAAGTGTTGAGAAAAAAAGAGCAGAAGTAAAATAAAATAACAGTAGGGAGGCTATATATACAGGGGGGTACCGGTGCAGAGTCAATGTGCGGGGGCACCGGCTAGTTGAGGTAGTTGAAGTAATATGGACATGTGGGTAGAATTAAAGTGACTATGCATAAATAATTAACAGAGTAGCAGCAGCGTAAAAAGATGGGGTGGGGGGTGGGGGTGGGGGGCAGTGCAAATAGTCCGGGTAGCCATGATTAGTACCGCTTGCCGTGCGGTAGCAGAAAGAACAGTCTATGACTAGGGTGGCTGGAGTCTTTGACAATTTTGAGGGCCTTCCTCTGACACCGCCTGGTATAGAGGTCCAGGATGGCAGGAAGCTTGGCCCCAGTGATGTACTGGGCCGTACGCACTACCCTCTGTAGTGCCTTGCGGTCGGAGGCCAAGCAGTTGCCATACCAGGCGGTGATGCAACCAGTCAGGATGCTCTCGATGGTGCAGCTGTATAATTTTTTGAGGATCTCACCATAGGTGAGTTCAATTCCAAAGTAAAGGAGAATCACCTGCTTGAAATCTAATTATTTCTAACTACTTCTAGAAGGTGCCAATAATATTGGCCTGGCCATTTTCTGATTTCTTTGTGGAATAAGCTAACATTTAGTAAATTATTCTGTTTTTTTTGTGTTGTTCAACTGCAAACCAAAGACATACATTTGTGAATACCAAAATATTTTTAGATTTCAACAGTTTTCTGGAAGAAATTGTGCATTATTAGAAAAAAGTGCAAGGGTGCCAATATCTTTGGCCATGACTGTACATAGGATCCTGTATATAGCATTTTTAACATATTAAAACAAAAGAGGTTAATTATATTTGTCCAGCCTTTGCTGCTATCCTTGCAGATGTGTATAATATGCTGCGACCCTAACCAAAATGTATTTAATAGCTCCAAATAACAAAATAATGTTGCTAGGTTGTTGTAACATTTAAACTTAAAACATGTTTTTCATTTTTTTGCACTGCATGGATCACTTTTTTTATTTTATTTTTATTTCACCTTTATTTAACCAGGTAAGCCAGTTGAGAACAAGTTCTCATTTACAACTGCGACCTGGCCAAGATAAAGCAAAGCAGTGCGATAAAAACAACAACACAGAGTTACATATGGGGTAAACAAAACATAAAGTCAAAAATACAAACAGAAAATATATATACAGTGTGTGCGAATGTACTAAGTTATGGAGGTAAGGCAATAAATAGGCCATAGTGCAAAATAGTTACAATTTCGTATTAACACTGGAATGATAGATGTGCAAAAGATGATGTGCAAATAGAGATACTGGGGTGCAAATTAGCAAAATAAATAACAATATGGGGATGAGGTAGTTGGGTGGGCTAATTTCAGAATGGCTGTGTACAGGTGCAGTGATCGGTAAGCTGCTCTGACAACTGACACTTAAAGTTAGTGAGGGAGATAAGAGTCTCCAGCTTCAGAGATTTTTGCAGTTCGTTTGAATGCAGTATTGCTGTATGGCCACTCAAAATGTATTGTAGTTGAGTAGCCAGCCTAGGCTACTGCTCAAACATTGCTGTAATACGCCTACATGTTTCTCCTTTGCATGGTGTTTAGTTGCAGATTTAGTTTTTGGGTTATTCATTGTCAAGCTTTTAAAACCTAAGACAGACTGCAACATCTTAGTATCCTAGCTAGGACTGTGGCATGTGTCTGTACACTTTGCCTCCGCTGCACACGGTAAATGGGACACACGAAAGCAGCACGATTGACCTTGATTTCACCAATGGGAGGACAACAGGCTGTAATTTCATAAAGTAGATCACTCAACTGTTAACTCATTTATACTTGCTTGTGTGTCCTATTGTCCTTTAGCAGTAATTTATACCCGTGTGTGAATCCTTTATCTTATAACTTTTTGACAACCAAGATGACATTTTCTGTAGGCTACAGCAATGACCCGTTGGAACCGAAACTTGGCATGGTCATTTAGCCTACAACACCTTTAAACTTTCGGTCCGGTAGTAGACTCGGTCAGTGCCATTAGTGATGATGTGATACAGTACACTGGCTGGCTTGTGTGGAGGTGTGTGTGTGGGTCTGGGAGGAGGGGTGTGTGTGTGGCAGGACGTTGGCAGTGGTTGCTGTGACTTGTAGGGCAGCGCATCGCGGGCTCTATAGAAGCAGGCGAAAATGAATTGACAACCCAAATCATTGCGCAGGCCGGATAAAATGAGTGTCACGGGCCTTGTGTTTCACACATGTGGTCTAAAAGCTCATTGTTGTAAAAACATAGCAGAACAGATTGAATCTCCAGTTCCATGTGGTTCCTCTCAGTACCTTGAGCACCTCCATGTTATTGTGTAGTTCTCCCAGGTATTTGTAGTAGTCACCAGACAGGGTGAGCAGCTCTATGTAACGGGTCTGCAGCAACGTAGCCTGGGAAAGAAAGGCAAACAATGCACAGTTAACAATAGAGACACACAATGACACAAACCACAAAGAGAGAGACATACAGTGCCTTCAGAAAGTATTCACACCCTTGAATTTCAAATGGATTAGATTGAGATTTTGTGTCACTGCCCTATGTCATGTAAGAATCTTCCCAGCGTGAAATAGTTCCCAATTGTTCTGATCGTGTTCTGATTGTGACGTTATGCTGTAAAATTTCTCCCAGCGTGAATATTTTCCCGGTTCAATAATTGCACACGCGTATCTTTATGTGGATGGCTAAGCTCGTGCGGATGCCTCCATCTCACACCCTCCCTCGACCTCGAAAACGTATTCTGTGAGCACGCGAATATGCTTCACACATCTGCCAATCAATGGTGGCTGAGTATTGACACTGACCAATCAGAAGCTTGTTGAGACGTGAGGTCAGCATTTAAATACCCGGATTCACGCATCAAAGTGCTGAGGGTTGATTTGAGAAGAGATTCTTTGCGATTGCAAAGACCTGGGCGCTACTTTTTTGATTGACAGTGCATATATTTGTTAGATAGTTAGTTAGCTAGCTAAATCAAGGGTGAGGGAGGGTGTGAGAGAAACATCTGCACGAGCTCAGCCATCCACATAAAGAGACGCACGTGTAATTATTGAACTGGGAACATTTTCACGCTGTGAGAAATTTTACAACATGACGTCACAATCAGAACGATTGGGAACTATTTCACACTGGGACGAATTTAATATAATAATTATAATAATAATATGCCATTTAGCAGACGCTTTTATCCAAAGCCTTTAATTGAGCTACAATATGACTCCCTACACACAATAACCCATAATGTCAAAGTGGAATTGTTTAAAAAAATAAATAATTGTGAATTAAAAATCTAAAAGCTGAAATGTCTTGAGTCAATAAGTATTCAACCCCTTTGTTATGGCAAGCCTAAATAAGTAAAAAATGTGCTTAACAAGTCACATAATAAGTTGCATGGACTAATACACAATAATACTGTTTAACATGATTTGTTATGACTACCTCATCTCTATACCCCACACATACAATTATCTGTAAGGTCCCTCAGTCGAGCAGTGCATTTTAAACACAGACTCAACCACAAAGACCAGGGAGGTTTTCAAATGCCTTGCAAAGAAGGGCACCTATTGGTAGATGAAACCCCCCCCCCCCCGAAAAAAACTGACATTGAATATCCCTTTCAGCATGGTGAAGTTATTATTACACTTTGGATGGTGTATCAACACACCCAGTCACTAGAAAGATACAGGCGTCCTTCCTAATTCAGTTGCCGGAGAGGAAGGAAACCACTCAGGGATTTCACCATGAGCACTGTGGTTGACTGTTAAAAAACAGTTACAGTTTAATGGCTGTGTCATGGTGCTGAGGGGGGTGGTGCGATCAGATGAGACGCAAAAGTAAGTCAGATTTAGGACGACACTCAAATACGTCAACGCCGGAGCGAGAAGTCCGCAACAAGCGAAAACCAAAGCGCACCAACAGTGCGTAATAACATCCTACACAGAGGAGGAAAATGCTCCAAGGCAAACAAAGCGCACAACCTACAGCGAAACAATACCCCAACACATGAAATTAAATAGAACAAACACTAGACACAGTGTAACATCAGACCAAACCAAACGAACATGAAACATAGATCGGGGCAGCAGTACTCCGGATACGACAAAGCTGCCGAACCCAGCTCGCGAAACAGCTGTGATAGGAGAAAACTGAGGATGGATCAAGGAAGCCTGTACAGAATACAAATATACATGCATCCTGTTTGCAATAAGGCGGTAAAGTAAAACTACAAAAAATGTGGCAAAGTAATGAACTTTATGTCCTGAATACAAAGTGTTCTGTTTGGGACAAATCCAACACAACACATCACTGAGTACAACTCTTCATATTTTCAAGCATGGTAGTGGCTACATCATGTTATGGGTATGCTTGTCATTGGCAAGGACTAAGGAGTTTTTTAGGATACAAATAAACTGAATAGAGCTAACAAAATCCTAGAGGAAAATCTGGTTCAGTCTGCTTTCCAACAGACACTGGGAGACAAATTCACCTTTAAGCAGGACAATTACCTAAAACACAAGGCCAAATATACACTGGAGTTGCTTACCAAGATGACATTGAATGTTCCCGAGTCGCCTAGTTACAGTTTTGACTTAAATCGGTTTGAAAATCTATGTCAATGATCAATGATCAACAACCAACTTAAAAATAATAATATGCAAATATTGTACAATCTAGGTGTGCAAAGCTCTTAGAGACTTACCCAGAAAGACTCACAGCTGTAATCACTGCCAAAGGTGATTCTAACATGTATTGACTTATGAGGTTTAATACTTATACTTATGTAATCAAGATATATTAGTGTTTTATTTTTCATTATTATTATTTTTTGACAAATGTTAGAATTTTTCTTTCACTTTGACGTTAGAGTATTTTGTGTATATCAGTGACAAAAAAATGACAATTAAATCAATTTTAATCCCACCTTGTAACATGACAAAATGTGGAAAAAGTCAAGGGGTGTGAATACTTTCTGAAGGCACTGTAGATACTGAGTGGGTTGTGTGTGGTTGTGTAACAGACATGTAGATACACATTTTAAAGTATCTTTGTTGACTGGATGTTGCGATTACTGTTACCTCCTCGGTGAGTTGAGCAGAAGGAGATTGTAGCATGGTCCTCTTCATATGGATGTTTAGTAGAGTCTCCAGACCTGCACTGTATGAGGCCAACTCCAGCTCATAGTCCTAAAACATACAGTCACATTAAAGCAGATGTACAATACAAACATCTTTATAACATCACATAAATGTTAGGACAGTCCGGTACTGTCAGATATAATGTGTCAGAAACGGTCTGTACCTTGATGGAGTTGACACAGGCGTCAGTGTATCTCAGAACACTCTTCACACTCTCCCTCTTCCCCTTGATCTCAGAGGTCAGCACCTAGACAGACACACAAATACATTAACACAAATACATTAATATGTTGGTTATATTGACTCTAATAGACATTGAACAACTGGACTGTTTGTTTGTTTGACTGATTGACCTTCTGCTGGTTGAGGTGTTCCTCCAGGGCTGTGATGCTGTCTATCTTGGTGGCCTGCAGCGCGTCCTGTGTCTGACGCGTAGCACCAATCCACTCACTGAGGATTGAGCTAGTGGTTGTGTACTGCTGGAGCAGCTGGAGATACCCCTCTAGGTCCCTCAGTCTGACATAAAGGAGAAGCAAAACACCATTTTTGTAAATAGATTTTTTAAAGCGCTGAAGTGCATAAAAATCGTCTGTCCTCGGTTGCAACACTCACTACCGAGTTTCAAACTGCCTCTGGAAGCAACGTCAGCACAAGAACTGTTCGTCGGGAGCTTCATGAAATGGGTTTCCATGGCCGAACAGCCGCACACAAGTTTAAGATCACCATGCGCAATGCCAAGCGTCGGCTGGAGTGGTGAATCCCGCTTCACCATCTGGCAGTACGACGGACTAATCTGGGTTTGGCGGATGCCAGGAGAATGCTACCTGCCCCAATGCATTGTGCCAACTGTAAAGTTTGGTGGAGGAGGAATAATGGTCTGGGGCTGTTTTCATGGTTCGGGCTAGGCCCCTTAGTTCCAGTGAAGGGAAATCTTAATGCTACAGCATACAATGACATTCTAGACGATTCTGTGCTTCCAACTTTGTGGCAACAGTTTGGGGAAGGCCCTTTCCTGTTTCAGCATGACAATGCACCCGTGCACAAAGCGAGGTCCATACAGAAAGGGTTTGTCGAGATCGGTGTGGAAGAACTTGACTGGTCTGCACATAGCCCTGACCTCAACTCCATCGAAAACCTTTGGGATGAATTGGAACGCGGACTGTGAGCCAAGCCTAATCGCCCAACATCAGCGCCTGACCTCACTAATGCTCTTGTGGCTGAATGGATGCAAGTCCCTGCAGTAATGTTCCAACATCTAGTGGAAAGACTTCCCAGGAGAGTGGAGGCTGTTATAGCGGCAAAGGGGGGACCAACTCCATATTAATGACCATGATTTTGGAATGAGATGTTCGACGAGCAGGTGTCTACATACTTTTGGTCATGTAGGTTATGTCTATAGTAGTGACAATGACATAAGGAACCGGAAAGGTGTAGATAGATAAGGTAAAGAGACGTCCATACCTAGAGTCTATCTGGCTCTGAAAGCGTCTCCAGCGGTCAGACAGCTGGGTGACCTGTTCGCTGTATCTGGACAGGTCCACGTCACACCTGTGGAAGGCTCCACCCACCTGGCTGTTCCAGTGGAGCGCCTTCCCCAGCTCCATCTCCATGGAGACCAGGACGTCCCTCTTCCCCTCCAGCTCCGCCCTCATACTCTACACACACATACATCACACACACACACACACACAACAGAATATCTTAGATTTGAATCAGAAAGTGAACTGGCCTTTTTAGAGTACATACCGAGAACCCCGAATAACCACAAAACTCACTGACTTCAAAACATTTACTAGGGCCCTATAAAATCTGTAAATATTTTTTGACAAATTCCGTTTAGTTTCTTCACAAATTCTGTTTTCTCCTGTTTTTTTCCCCCCAGGTTTCAGAATGTTCCCCTTTTCAGGTTTTCACTCTCAAAACGGACACTTACCCTGCCCCCATCCCCAATGGACATTTATCATGGCTATAATTATAAATGTGTATACAGTATATTATTATTATTTTTATTTTTATCTCATCACTTCTCTTTATTTAACCTGCACTGTTGGAGCTCAGAGCATAAAAATTCACTTAAGCCTGCGATTACATCTGCGACCCTGTGCATGTGACTAATAAACTCATCTAATCTAATAACAAATACAACAAATAATCACACTTTTTAATAGAAAAACAACAAAATTGGATGTCCTAAGTCCACAACAATGCTTAAACCACATCAGGAGACCAATTTTGAGGTCTGGGAAAAATCTAAGAAATTATATTTTTTTGGTGTAGATACCCTTTAATTCAAGTGCCCACCAGCAAGAGCAGTGTTTCTGTAGCATACATGTGATTGCAGAGTTTGCTAAACAAACCCTAATTTACAAACATACAATTTTATCCTAGAAGCACCACACACAGCTAACTGACAGACTGAATAATGGTTGTGACAGACACTGCCATTCCCACATTCTTTGGGCTTGTGTGTCATACAGTAACTGTTACCTTCAGAGTGGACCTGTAATCCTCCACCTCTGCAGGATCCAAGGATGTGGTCTCCTTCTCTGTCAGTCTGGCCTCATGGACCTTAATGATGTCCTCAGCCCTGGACACACTCTCCAGGAGGGCCCTTAGAGCCCGCAGCCTGGGAGGGGATGGGTGGGGGGTGACAGAGAAGAGAGAGAGAAGAAGGGGGAGAGAGATGCAAAGAATGAGAGAGAGATGGAGAGAGAGAATTTGTCAAAACAAATTAGTTACATTTGAGCAATGAGTGGTGAGTGTGTATGGAAGAGTCTGTATTTAGAGTACCACTATGGGTATACTGCAGAGAACCCTTTCAGGCTGTGGGTGTATGCTCATACACTACAGTATAATGTTGACCTCTGTAGGTATGCTGCGGAGCACCCGTCCAGACTGCCCAGTCTCTCGTTGATGAGGCCGAGTTGGCTGTGTAGGAACGTGGCTTTGTCAGAGTCAGTCATGTTCTCCAGTTCCTTCAGAACACGCTCCTTTAGACATGTGTACTCCTCACGGATAGAGTCCACATCCTGCTGTACAGACTGGGGAAAACGCACACATTTAGTCACATGCACATACCTAAACCTACATACATAGTAGTACTCCTAGTAAGGACACTCCTAGGTATATTCTATCTGTGTGTGTGTGTGTGTGTGTGTACCTCTAGCTGTGTGATCCTCAGGCCACAGTCATGTGCTCCATCCTCTGCCAGACAGATGTGGATGTGCTGAGTAAGCCCCGCCTCTGCCACCTCCAGTCTCAGTCTGAGCGCGTGCAGCTCCATCAGGCTCTGTGATGTCACCAACACCACCTTCTTCTTAACCACTACCTTCTTCACATCCTCTTGCTTGGTCGCCAGTATCCTGGCTTCCTCCTCTGCTTTGATCTTCTCCTCATTGGCGGTCTGTTGTGCAGCTAGGGATGGAGAGATACAATGTTGGTGTCATTTACTGTATGGTACAGATACAATTGAGGTTATTGACATGCACTCAGAGTAGAGAGGTATATATCTTCTCACTGTAAGCAGGTAGCTGGACCAGCAGGTGGTCATAGTGAGCCTGGGCTCCAGTGTACTGGCTCTCGATGCTGCTCTTGTCCTCGTCCTTGAACATCTCGGAGCCATGGCAACAGAGGGTGAACTCTGAGTAGTGTGTCTCCAGACTCTTCAGGATGCTGCGGTACTCCTCAGGACGCATACGGGACAGCTGAAAGGACACAATAATGAAGCTATCGATTCAAGAAAAAAATTGAATTAATAAGTATGACTAAGGGCATACTTTTTTGTAGGTTATATATTTTGTTATTACCATTTTAATGTATTTTTTTGTAATCCTAGTATAAGTAAATAGTGGGCTGTATAGCAAAGTGCAACCCTGACATTTGAGTTAGTTGTGGACTTTTAAGTAGTTACAATGAGATTATTGTGATGACAATGATAGTGGTTACCGCAGTGATTGAAGGATTTACCATGGTGATGGTGAGTGAGTTGATATGTGTGAGGTCCTGGACACAGTGCTGCCAGGAAATGAGACTCTTGATGTTGATGTAGAGCTGATTCCATACAGACAGGATGGCCTCAATGTACTGCTCATTCCTGATGGACCACACAACACAGATGGTGATTTAGTTCTCACATTGTGTGTGTGTGTGTGTGTTTGTGTGTGTGTGCACTGCGTGCCTGCATGTGTGTGTTCTTACTTGTTGGCCAGGTTGATGCCAAGGGGGTTGGGTGGTGGAACCAGCAGACAGACAGAGGGCACCAGCATGTCCAGTCCTCCTGGTCCTGTCACCTGCCACTTACTGCGCTGGGAATTGTCTTTCAGGATGCCCTTGTCGCCCTTCAGAATCACCTTCTATAGAGGGACAGGACATGCAGGATGTTAGACAGCAGTGTGTGTGTGCTTGCAGGCATGCATGTGTGAGAGAGAGAGAGAGAGAGAGAGAGAGAGAGAGAGAGAGAGAGAGAGAGAGAGAGAGAGAGAGAGAGAGAGAGAGAGAGAGAGAGAGAGAGAGAGAGAGAGAGAGAGCTTGTGTGTGTATATTCATGTCTCGGACCTGGTCTTGTTTGAAGTCACACAGGGCCTGTACCATAACAGGACTACTGCTCTTCTCCTCTTCAGGGTTACGTGGTCTGAGCCTCACTATGCTCTTGGACTTGTTGACCGAGTGCTGCACCTGCCTCTTATCCTCCATGATCTGCTCCTTCTCTTTCTGTTGGACATAGAGGTTAAGGGTCAGAGGTCAATATCCCTATCAGAGGAAAGGGGGAGCATTTATATTTGGGGTATCTTCACAAATGACTTCCTATTCCACATGTAGTGAACTAGTTCTATACCGGAGTGACTACGCTCTTAGATTAATTTTTTATATATAGAACCTTAAAGGGTTCTTTAGCTGTCCCCATAGGAGAACCCTTTGAAGAACCCTTTTTGGTTGCAGGTAGAACTGTCACGCCCTGACTCAGGGGACGGTTATTTGTTGAGTCAGGGTGTGTATATTTCGTGTTGTGTTTATTTCTATGTTTAGTTTCTAGATCGTTTAGATCTATGTTGGCCAGGGTGGTTCCCAATCAGAGGCAGCTGTAGCTCGTTGTCTCTGATTGGGGACCATACTTAGGCAGCCTTTTGGCACCAGTCAGTTGTGGGATGTTGTTCCATGTAAGGTATGTTTGTGTGTTACCTTGGACTTCACATTTCGTTTGTTGTTTTGTTGTGTGTTTATTCGTGAAATAAATATGAATGCATATCACGCTGCGCCTTGGTCCTTCTCGTCCGTAAACGATCGTGACAAGAACCCTTTTGTTCCAGGAAGAACCCTTTTGTTCCATGTAGAACCCTTTTTTCCAAGAGTGTACAGTCAAAAGTAGTGCACTATATAGGGAATTGGGTGTTTGAGATATAACCTTGTACAGTATATCTGTGGTGCCTTCAAACATGAACATGTCTTACCTCCAGGCCTTTGAGTAGTTCCAGCAGGTTTTCAAGGGGCGTGTTTCTGTCACTGGTGAACTTCTTACGGATGTTCTCATGCGCCTTCTGCAGCTTACTGTACATCTCATTGGCCTCCTTGATGAAGTCGCTGTAGGCAGCATTCTCCTTCAGGTGGACATGGATACACTTGGTGATCTGGAGGAGCCAGCTCCACTGGGTCTGCAGAGTGTCCATGTAGGCCTGGAAGAAATTAAAAAAGAAGGATAGAGGGATTCAAGAATGAATAAAAGGGGGATGGAAAGGAAGATGAGAACTCATATCAAGATAACCATCACAGCTAATTAGATAGCTAGACATTGCTAGATATCATGGGCCCCAGGAAGAGTAGGTTTTGCGACTGTAACAGCTAATGGGGATCCAAATAATCAAATAGATATTCTTCTATACAGACATCTCCTAACCTCGATCTTGTCAGAGGCAGGGTGGGGGTTCTTCAAAAGGCTGTCCACTTTCAGCTTCAGTTTATTCAGGTCCTTATCCTTCTCCTCCAGGGCACTCATCAGTTTCTGACAGAGAAAACAACACAGTTTACAGACAACACAGTTAGGGCAGAACTGGAGAGACAGAATCACTGTTAGGCCCTGGGGACCCATTGGGACTGGAAGAATGATCTGTGGTTTCATTGCACAAGTCTCAATGGTTAGGCAATTGGCATGATACTTTCCTAGGGTACATCATGCAAAACAGATTAACAACACATAATGATTTGCACATACATAATACACTAGATGTGCCAGTCACGGGACTAGAGATCACCAAACATGACCAATCATCAGGAATGATGAGGAACAATTACAGCTAGTCTGCGTCCCAAGTGTCACCCAATATATTACCTACATAGTGCATTACTTTTGACCAGAGCCCTGGTCAAAAGTAGTGCACTTTATAGGTAATAGGGTGCCATTTGGGACGCAGATCTTGTATGGTCTCTATGGGAATCATCAATTAGCCTCTCCCCCTCCCACTGTGACAATACCCCTCAGACCCTTGACCTTTAACCCTTGACGCAGTCCTTACAGAGTAGCTCTCCTGCTTCTTGGGGATGTAGAGGTCTATGTTCTTGTGCCCCCAGTCAAACACCAGCTCCTCCTCCTCTCTCTCGTTCACCCACATGATCTCTCTACTGATCGCCTCAATGATCTGCTGCATCTCCCTCAGCTGGTTGCTACGACCATGAGACATTTTCTGACAGAGCAGAAAACATAGTAAGACTCTTCAATAGTTAGGTACAATCAATAGTTACAAATCCATTGTGGCATGACTAACATAGACAGACAAATGGAAACAAACATGTTCAATACAACACAAACCTACAGAAAGATAATATATGGTACAACAACCGTATTATAGAGTAATGCAGGGGTGTGTGTGTGTGTGTGTTTTCCCCAGAGTTCTCTGTCACCTGCAGCATGTCCCATTCCTGATCCAGAGCGTACTGGTTGGCCTTGTCTCCTTTCTTAATCTGTAGGGAAGAACAAACAAACACTGAGAGAGAATTACACACACTCAGTCGGAATTACACACAAACACACTCCCAGAAATAGAATTTGTATGAGAGACAGTGTGAAAGTAACTGTGTCTGTGTTCGTGACAGGTGTGTGTGTGTGTGTGTGTGTGTGTGTGTGTGTGTGTGTGTGTGTGTGTGTGTGTGTGTGTGTGTGTGTGTGTGTGTGTGTGTGTGTGTGTGTGTGTGTGTGTGTGTGTGTGTGTGTGCATACCCACCAGTTCAACGTTGGCCTTGTCCACCTCGGGGCTTCTCTGTATCGAGCTGTGGAACTTGCTGTGGCTTATCAGCTGCTGCTCAATGGATGCAGCGTCATCTCCCCACGGAGAGGTCTCTATCAGACGCTGGAATACAAACACATTACGATCACATTATAACTACATCTCAAACACACTGTAACCTCACAACCACAACACACACCTCAACCATTACACAAATACACATCTCAACCCCAACACACAGCTCAACCATAGGGAAAAGTCTCACATGCTACAACATTGCCACTAGGTGGTGATAGAGTAGTGTGAAGTATGGTAAACGTTTACCCTCTGTAAGCTTAACACTAAAAACCAACCAAGAAGTAAATATGGTATGTCAGGAATTCACCAATAGACAGGGAGTCTGAGCCACTAAGTCCAGAACATAGCCTAGCCTTCACCTTGGTTTGTGCAGAGGGGGGTGCATAATATGAGTGTGTGTGTGTGTGTGTGTGTGTGTGTGTGTGTATATGTGTGTGTGCAGTGTGTTTTTGTCTTTCTCTAGTCTCCACTCCTCCTAAATGAGATTGATGTCTGTCAGTGGCAGATGGACTCTGTCTCCAGCATGTGGAGAAGAATGCTTTCAACTTGGTACAATGCTTGATATACAGTTACACTACGTCCAGCCTCTAGCATTTCTTCTGCATGTCTGTACAAGTGACAAAGCAGGTATAACCGCCAACACAACCTGCTCTATCCTTTCTGTTCGTTCTCCAGTTTGTGAAAAGCTGGCAGTGGAAGGTATTCCACTCATTCAAGGTATTCCGAGCAGCCGAGCGGAAATGGAGGAAAACTAGACTCCCTGCGGACCTGGCATCTTTTTACTCCCTCCTCTCTACATTTTCTTCATCTGTTTCTGCTGCTAAAGCCACTTTCTACCACTCTAAATTCCAAGCATCTGCCTCTAACCCTAGGAAGCTCTTTGCCACCTTCTCCTCCCTGCTGAATCCTCCTCCCCCCACCCCCCCCTCCTCCCTCTCTGTGGATGACTTCGTCAACCATTTTGAAAAGAAGGTTGACGACATCCAATCCTCGTTTGTTAAGTCAAATGACACTGCTGGTCCTGCTCACACTGCCCTACCCTATGCTTTGACTTCTTTCTCCCCTCTCTCTCCAGATAAAATCTTGCGACTTGTGACGGCCGGCCGCCCAACAACCTGCCCGCTTGACCCTATCCCCTCCTCTCTTCTCCAGACCATCTCCGGTGACCTTCTCCCTTACCTCACCTCGCTCATCAACTCATCCTTGACCGCTATGTCCCTTCCGTCTTCAAGAGAGCGAGAGTTGCACCCCTTCTCAAAAAACCAACACTCGATCCCTCTGATGTCAACAACTACAAACCAGTATCCCTTCTTTCTTTTCTCTCCAAAACTCTTGAGCGTGCCGTCTTTAGCCAACTCTCTTGCTATCTCTCTCAGAATGACCTTCTTGATCCAAACCAGTCAGGTTTCAAGACTGGTCATTGAACTGAGACTGCTCTTCTCTGTGTCACGGAGGCTCTCCGCACTGCTAAAGCTAACTCTCTCTCCTCTGCTCTTGTCCTTCTAGACCTGTCTGCTGCCTTTGATACTGTGAACCATCAGATCCTCCTCTCCACCCTCTCCGAGCTGGGCATCTCCGGTGCGGCTCACTCTTGGATTGCGTCCTACCTGACCGGTCGCTCCTACCAAGTGGCGTGGCGAGAATCTGTCTCCGCACCACGTGCTCTCACCACTGGCGTCCCCCAGGGCTCAGTTTTAGGCCCTCTCCTATTCTCGCTATACACCAAGTCACTTGGCTCTGTCATATCCTCACATGGCCTCTCCTATCATTGCTACGCAGATGACACACAACTAATCTTCTCCTTTCCCCCTTCTGATAACCAGGTGGCGAATCGCATCTCTGCATTTCTGGCAGACATATCAGTGTGGATGACGGATCACCACCTCAAGCTGAACCTCGGCAAGACGGAGCTGCTCTTCCTCCCCGGGAAGGACTGCCCATTCCATGATCTCGCCATCACGGTTGACAACTCCGTTGTGTCCTCCTCCCAGAGTGCGAAGAGCCTTGGCGTGACCCTGGACAACACCCTGTCGTTATCCGCTAACATCAAGGCGGTGACCCGATCCTGTAGGTTCATGCTCTACAACATTCGGAGAGTACGACCCTGCCTTACACAGGAAGCGGCACAGGTCCTAATCCAGGCACTTGTCATCTCCCGTCTGGATTACTGCAACTCGCTGTTGGCTGGGCTCCCTGCCTGTGCCATTAAACCCCTACAACTCATCCACAACGCCGCAGCCCGTCTGATGTTCAACCTTCCCAAGTTCACTCACGTCACCCCGCTCCTCTGCACACTCCACTGGCTTCCAGTTGAAGCTCGCATCTGCTACAAGACCATGGTGCTTGCCTACGGAGCTGTGAGGGGAACGGCACCTCCGTACCTTCAGGCTCTGATCAGTCCCTACACCCAAACGAGGACATTGCGTTCATCCACCTCTGGCCTGCTGGCCCCCCTACCTCTGCGGAAGCACAGTTCCCACTCAGCCCAGTCAAAACTGTTCGCTGCTCTGGCACCCCAATGGTGGAACACGCTCCCTCACGACGCCAGGACAGCGGAGTCACTCACCACCTTCCGGAGATACTTGAAACCCCACCTCTTTAAGGAATACCTGGGATAGGATAAAGTAATCCTTCTACCCCCCCCCTTACCCCACCCCACCCCCGCAAAAAATAAAAATAAAAACAAACATATTGTAAAGTGGTTATCCCACTGGCTGTAAGGTGAATGCACCAATTTGTAAGTCGCTCTGGATAAGAGCGTCTGCTAAATGACGTAAATGTAAAATGTAATGTGAATGTATTCAGTAGCAGGGATGACGTACATCACATGTGGTTGTGATAACTGTACATTGCAGTAGGAGGGCTAAGGTTATTTTAAGACAATTACAGTACTGCGTGTGTTTGTGTGTGTGTGCCATTTCCGGTGTTTTCAGATCTAAATGAAGTTTGAGTGTCAGCGTGTTATCTGCACTAACCTCTCAGACACACACCTGCCCTTCAGGACTAACCAGTTAATGTACAGTACCAGTCAAAAGTTTGGACACACCTACTCATTCAAGGGTTTTTCTTTATTTTTTACATTATAGAATAATAGTGAAGACATCAAAACTATGAAATAACACATATGGAATCATGTAGTAACAAAAAAAGTGTTAAATAAATCAAAATATATTTTATATTTGAGATTCTTCAAATAGCCACCCTTTGCCTTGATGACAGCTTTGCACACTCTTGGCATTCTCTCAAACAGCTTCACCTGGAATGCTTTTCCAACAGTCTTGAAGGAGTTCCCACATATGCTGAGCACTTGTTGGCTGCTTTTCCTTCACTCTGCCATCCGACTCATCCCAAACCATCTCAATTGGGTTGAGGTCGGGTGATTGTGGAGGCCAGGTCATCTGATGCAGCACTCCATTGCTCTCCTTCTTGTTCAAATAGCCCTTACACAGCCTGGAGCTGTGTTTGGTCATTGTCCTGTTGAAAAACAAATGATAGTCCCACTAAGCCCAAACCAGATGGCGTATCGCTGCAGAATGCTGTGGTAGCCACGCTGGTAAAGTGTGTCTAAATAAATCACAGACAGTGTCACCAGCAAAGCACCCCCACACCATAACACCTCCTCCTCCATGCTTTACGGTGGGAACTACACATGCAGAGATCATCCGTTCACCCACACCGCGTCTCACAAAGACACGCCGGTTGGAACAATGGGACAGATTTCCACCAGTCTAATGTTCCTTGGCCCAAGCAAGTCGCTTCTTCTTATTGGTGACCTTTAGTAGTGGTTTCTTTTCAGCAATTCGACCATGAAGGCCTGATTCACACAGTCTCCTCTGAACAGTTGATGTTGAGATGTGTCTGTTACTTGAACTCTGTGAAGCATTTATTTGGGCTGCAATTTCTGAGGCTGGTAACTCTAATGAACTTATCCTCTGCAACAGAGGTAACTCTGACTCTTCCCTTCCTGTGGCGGTCCTCATGAGAGCCAGTTTCATCATAGCGCTGGATGGTTTTTGCGACTGCATTTGAAGAAACTTGTAAAATGATTCTACAAAGTAAAAAATTGTAAAATAAAGAAAACCCTTGAATGCCTACTCATTCAAGGGTTTTTCTTTATTTGTGCTATTTTTTACATTGTAGAATAATAGTGAAGACATCAAAACTATGAAATAACTCATATGGAATCATGTAGTAACCACAAAAGTGTTAAACAAATCAGAATATATTTTATATTTGAGATTCATCAAATAGCCACCCTTTGCCTTGATGACAGCTTTGGACACTCTTGGCATTCTCTCAACCAGCTTCATAAACAAGTCACCTGGAATGCATTTCAACTGTCTCCTGAGTGGCGCAGTGGTCTAAGGCACTGCATCGCAGTGCTAACTGTGCCACTAGAGATCCTGGTTCGAATCCAGGCTCTGTCGCAGCCAGCCGTGACCGGGAGACTCATGGGCGGCGCACAATTGGCCCAGCGTCGTCCAGGGTAGGGGAGGGAATGGCCGGCAGGGATGTAGCTCAGTTGATAGAGCATGGTGTTTGCAACGCCAGGGTTGTGGGTTCGATTCCCACGGGGGGCCAGTATAAAAAAAATATGTATTCACTAACTGTAAGTCGCTCTGGATAAGAGCGTCTGCTAAATGACTAAAATGTAATTAACAGGTGTGCCTTGTTAAAGTTAATTTGTGGAATTTATTTCCTTCTTAATGCGTTTGAGCCAATCAGTTGTGTTGTGACAAGGTAAAGGGGGTATACAGAAGATAGCCCTATTTGGTAAAAGACCAAGTCAATATTATGGCAAGAACAGCTCAAATAAGCAAAGAGAAACAACAGTCCATCATTACTTTAAGACATGAAGGTCAGTCAAAACTGAACATTTCAAGAACTTTGAAAGTTTCTTCAAGTGCAGTCGCAAAAACCATCAAGCGCTATGATGAAACTGGCTCTCATGAGGACCGCCACAGGAAAGGAAGACCCAGAGTTACCTCTTCTGCAGAGGATAAGTTCATTAGAGTTACCAGCCTCAGAAATTGTAGCCCAAATAAATGCTTCACAGAGTTCAAGTAACAGACACATATCAACATCAACTGTTCAGAGGAGACTGCGTGAATCTGGCCTTCATGGTCGAATTTCTGCAAAGAAACCACTACTAAAGGACACCAATAACAAGAAGAGACTTGCTTGGGCCAAGAAACATGAGCAATGGACATTAGACCGGTGGACATTTGTCCTTTGGTCTGGAGTCCAAATTGGAGATATTTGGTTCCATCCACCGTGGCTTTGTGAGACGCTGTGTGGGTGAAAGGATGATCTCTGCATGTGTATTTCCCACCGTAAAGCATGGTGGAGGAGGTGTTATGGTGTGGGGGTGCTTTGCTGGTGACATTGTCTGGGATTTATTTAGAATTCAAGGCACACTTAACCAGCATGGCTACCACAGCATTCTGCAGTGATACACCATCCCATCTGGTTTGGGATTAGTGGGACTATCATTTGTTTTTCAACAGGACAATGACCCAACACACCTCCAGGCTGTGTAAGGGCTATTTGAACAAGAAGGAGAGTGATGGAGTGCTGCATCAGATGACCTGGCCTCCACAATCACCCGACCTCAACCCAATTGAGATGGTTTGGGATGAGTCGGACCAAAGAGTGAAGGAAAAGCAGCCAATAAGTGCTCAGCATATGTGGGAACTCCTTCAAGACTGTTTGAAAAGCATTCCAGGTGAAGCTGTTTGAGAGAATGCCAAGAGTGTGCAAAGCTGTCATCAAGGCAAAGGGTGGCTATTTGAAGAATCTCAAATATAACATATATTTTGATTTCTTTAACACGTTTTTGGTTACTACATGATTTCATATGGGTTATTTCATAGTTTTGATGTCTTCACTATTATTCTACAATGTAGAAAATAGTAAAAATAAAGAAAAACCCTTGAATGAGTAGGTGTGTCCAAACTTTTGACTGGTACTGTATGTATGGGAGAACGGAGAGAATTCCCAAAAGTGTCAAAGGGTCAAGTGTTTCACAATGATGACTTTAAAACTATAAGAACTGGGGGTGTTTTGCAACAAGTTGTCAGAACCATTTTTGGCTCACAACTAAAAATATATCTACCGGTATGTGCAACATGTTATATGTTTATGTCCATGTACAGTATCCTATGTTGTGTAATCCTATGCAATCCTATGGAACTCATATGTATCATACGCCTTCCTACACAGGCATTACACATCTGAATGCATGCAGTTATTATGATATCTTCTGAAGGGGAACAGATGGTAGCAATAATATTATGCAATCCTATAGCATATGCCTTCCTACACAAGCATTACACATCTGTGTTGTAGGGTGTGGTTCTCCATACCTTCTGCTGTCCAATCCAGGCCATGGCCTCGTTGAAGCTCCTCCCAGCTTCCTCCCAGGTGCCACTCCCTCTGCTCCCCTGGCTCCGCCTCTGCATGGTCCCGTTTATGGCCATGTGGACTCCCTTCAACTGGTCCCTACACATCTCCACACTATGGAGGGGGAGAGAAGGGGGAGAGGAGAGGGAGAGGAGAGGAGCTGTTAAACTATTTCTGTAACTCTTCCCCTGGTCGTTGCTGTAAAATATAATTTGTTCTCAGTCAATTTACCTAGTAAAATAAAGGGTAAATAAATAATAAAATAAAGAAATAAACACCTGCGTAACCCTAACAGTGTAGAGGAAAAAGGGAAAGAGAGAGAAGTAAAAGGAAGGTATATTGTGCAGAGTAATATTAGTCATCTCTTTGTGTATCTGACCTCAAACAGTGAGAAGAAAGGGGAATAGAGAGAGACACAAGGAGAGGGATATTGGTTTATCTGTATGCAGTAGTAGTGTTCATCTCTTAGTGTATCTAACCTTCGGACCACGCTGTCATTGGGTTGTCCCATCTGTCTCAGGTCCAGAGCACATGCCTTCAGCTGCTCTATGGACACTCTGGCCATGGCCATGTAGTGATCTGCCTCCACTGTGCTGCGCCCAGAGTCGCCGCCCTGCAGGACACACAGGGAAATGTCAGACACACATTATGGCTTTGTACATTATGTTCAGTCTAGCCTCAACTTGATGTTCTGGGCTTCTCAAACGAGAATACGGTAGACTATATTCAGTCAGGTGAATCTCTCAGTTCAAGATCCAGTTAAAGACAGGACCATAATGTATAGATCATAAGGATGGAATGCATAACCTTTCTGTCCAGATAACTTCTATCTGTAGGCTAATTGACTGTTTGCACAATAGTGTACTTTAATAGTTAAAGAGTACATTCTGTGACAGGTCACGGCCAAATGAACACTTTCCCTGGGTTTGTTTTCATTGTTTGTGTGTGTTTAAAGATAATCCCTGGGTTTACTGCTGACTGTGACACACCCTCAGATGCTCTTCTTATTTTCACTTAATGCGTGACCAAATATAACAATATGCATTTCATAAATATTCTAATAAAGTGTGTACATAAAACGTATTAAACATGTCTGTAAAACCACAATGAGGACATCGACCCATCAAGCAAGTTTTCATTCATCATTGGGTACAGCGCAAGAACAAATGTCAGAGTAATCTGAAATGGTGGCATTAATTCATGTTCACATTTACAGCATAACATACATAGGCATTTCATCATTAAGGCCTTTAGGAAATAATGTCTGGAGGGTGAAAATCCAGAAACATTCTCTTTTGCTCAGAGTATTATTTATATACCCTCCCCTGTCTGATATCTTAACTTTCTCTATGCCACATGTTTTTCTTGCGCTGTACCCAATGACTTGTGAAAACTTGCTTGATGGATCGATGTCCTAATTGTGGTTTTACAGACGTGTTTAATACATTTTATGTACACACTTTATTCAAATATTTATGAAATGCACATTGTTATATTTGGTAACACTTACTTATTTTCCCTCGACTCCAACCCCATTCGATGCATTGAACGGATGTAGGTGGAGCTATGTCTACATAAGGGTGCTAATAAAAAAAAACTCACAAAAGCTCTGACGAAGGCCTTGAGGTCGATACGTAAAGCTTGATACTATCAAGAGCAGTGTGCGGGTTTCTTCTTTTTCTCATCTTATTAAACTGTTACCATGCACCTGCGAAAAAGATAGCTCAGATGTGCGAGTGGCTTTTGAATTTTGACTTAATGCATGACCAAATCACCATACCTGTATGAACATGCTGAACATGTCAAACATGGCAGAGGCAGATGAGGCATGTCATCTCACTGGTTATGATTATTTATTTAAAAAAATACATGATTCTGATAAGACTTGGCTTGACAGGCTGAAAGTATTTAAAGCTGTTTTAAGATATTTTGCGAACATTAAGTAAAAGGGTGGAGTTACACCTGACATAGCATATTTCACAAATGCCTCAGCCAGCCACAGACACACAGGTGTGAAGACTCATCATCAGAGTGAGTGTGTCCAGTCTAGTGACCTGTTATGGATCATCTCATTATAATAATATAATAGACCTGACATTTAAAGGGATAGTGCAAGACTTTGGCATACTTGCTGTACCGGTAGACTTCCAGTCATTGTGCTAACACTAGTTAGCTTTAGCTCGCAAAACTACCTCTGACTTCCTTCATACTGCACGTAGAGACATGAACATTATATCCATGAGTTCATCTGATTCTGGGTAACTAGGTAATTGCCTACGTTAAAAATCTTGCAGTTTCCCTTTAAGAAACCTCACAGTCATGTTCTTCTGATGATTACATTCATAGGCCTACTTGTACTAACACACCACAATTCCACTAAAGCAAGTCAGGGGTGCTTGGTTGCAGGATTTTATTATATTTTTATTCACTTTTTTAACCAGTAACAGTTAGACAGTTCTCTTGGCGACGGCCAGATAGCAGAGTGCGATAAAAACATCAACACACTTAATGATGGGGACACAAAACAAGTCAAAAACAACAGATATTGTCACGACGTCATGGAGACCAAGGCGCACGTTGCAGAAATATTTTATTATTAATGATCCACACAAAACAACAAGAAAACGTGAGTCTTGGTTTAAAACCAACCACCCGAACAGAAACACAAACACAAAGTGAAGACAGTTAAAAATGGCTCCAATCAGAGACAACCAACTGACACTCTTGCCTCTGATTGGGGTCACTCAGGCCACATAAATACAACAAGAATACACCCCGGCTCAACATAACAGTGTCCCCAGAGCCAGGGCGTGACAGTACCCCCCCCCTAAAGGCGCGGACTCCGACCGCGCCAACTAAATACCACAGGGGAGGGACCGGGTGGGCACTCCGCCTTGGCGGCGGATCCGGCTCCGGGCCTGATCCCCACTCCCTCTCCAACCCCCCAAAGTACCCCTGGTCCGGTCTGGCCCCGCTGGCCGGAGCTGGACTGCACACTGATGGAGCGGATTGCTCTAGCTCCGGCGTAACGCATCTGACCGGTGCCGGACCAGGCACCAGTGGAACAGGCACGGGCCATGCCGGACCGACGACGCACACCACTGGCTTGGTGTGGGGAACAGGCACGGGCCGTGCTGGACTGACGACGCACACCACTGGCTTGGTGTGGGGAGCAGGAGCGGGCCGGACAGGGCTGACGAAACGCACCACAGACTTGGTGCGGGGAGCAGGAATGGGCCGGACCGGGCTGGCGACGCGCACCACAGACTTGGTGCGGGGAGCAGGAATGGGCCGAGCCGGGCTGACGAAACGCACCACAGACTTGGTGCGGGGCGCAGGAATGGGCCGAGCCGGGCTGACGAAGCGCACCACTGACTTGGAGCGGGGAGCAGGAACGGGCCGAGCCGGGCTGACGAGACGCACCACAGACTTGGTGCGGGGAGCAGGAATGGGCCGGACTGGGCTGGCGACGCGCACCACAGACTTGGTGCGGAGAGCAGGAACGGGCCGGACAGGGCTGACGAAACGCACCACAGACTTGGTGCGGGGAGCAGGAACAGACCGGACCGTACTGGGGACACACACCACTGGCCCTACACCGGGATCTGGAACGGGCCGGACCGGACTGGTAACACACCCCAGTACCTCTCGCCGTGCCTCTCCACCTTCCATCCCCTCTTCGACCAGTGGCCCCCGTAACCTGGCGGCCTCCTCTGCCAACCCGCTGGACCACTCTATCGCGGCCTCCTGCTGCCCCGACGTCGTGAGCCCCCCCCTAAAAATTTTCTGGGGGTCTCTCCTCCCCGTGGGCCAGGCCTCTATCGTTCTCGCCCAACTCTCGCTCCTCTGTCTCCAACTCCAGCCATTCTGCTCTTCATTAGGCTTGACCCAGTCGAAACTCTTCCTCCACTGTTCCCAAGTCCATCCACTCTGCTCTTTACAAGGCTGGACCCAGTCGAGGTTGCCACGGAGATCTGCAAGCGATTCCCCAGGCAATGGCTCCTGGACACGCTGCTTGGTCCAGTTTTGGTGGTTTCTTCTGTCACGAACGTCAGGGAGAGACCAAGGCGCAGCGTTGCAGGTGAACATATTTATATTTATTTAATGATCACACGATCAAAACGAAAAACGTGACGTCTATGGTTTAAACACAAACCAACACGAACAAGAAACCACAAACACAAAGTGAAAGACAGACAGTTAAATATGGCTCCCAATCAGAGACAACCAGCTGACACTCGTTGCCTCTGATTGGGAGTCACTCAGGCCAACATAGAAATACAAACATAGAATACACACCCTGGCTCAACATAACAGTGTCCCCAGAGCCAGGGCGTGACATACATATAATATACAGTGTGCAAATTTAGCAAGTTATGGAGGTAAGGCAATAAAATAGGCTATAGTGCAAAATAATTACAATTAGTATTAACACTGGAATGATAGATGTGCAAGAGATGATGTGCAAATAGAGATACTGGGGTACAAATGAGCAAAATAAATAACAATATAGGGATGAGGTAGTTGGGCGGGCTAATTTCAGATGGGCTGTGTACAGGTGCAGTGATCGGTAAGGTGCTCTGACAACTGATGCTTAAAGTTAGTGAGGGAGATAAGTGTCTCCAGCTTCAGAGATTTTTGAAATTTGTTCCAGTCATTGGCAGCAGAGAACTGGAAGGAATTGCGGCCAAAGGAGGTGTTGGCTTTGGGGATGACCAGTGAGATATACCCGCTGGAGCGCAGACTACGGGTGGGTGTTGCTATGGTGACCAATGAGCTAAGATAAGGCGGGGATTTGCCTAGCAGTGATTTATAGATGGCCTGGAGCCAGTGGGTTTGGCGACGAATATGTAGTGAGGACCAGCCAACAAGAGTGTACAGGTCACAGTGGTGGGTATTATATGGGGCTTTGGAGACAAAACGGATGGCACTGTGATAGACAACATCCAATTTGCTGAGTAGAGTGTTGGAGGCTATGTTGTAAATGACATCGCCGAAGTCAAGGATCGGTAGGATAGTCAGTTTTACGAGGGCATGTTTGGCAGCATGAGTGAAGGAGGCTTTGTTGCGAAATAGGAAACCGATTCTAGATTTAACTTTGGATTGGAGATTCTTAATGTGAGTCTGGAAGGAGAGTTTACAGTCTAACCAGACACCTAGATATTTGTAGTTGTCCACATACTCTAGGTCAGACCCGTCGAGAGTAGTGATTCTAGTCGGGTGGGCGGGTGCAAGCAGCGTTCGGTTGAAGAGCATGCATTTAGTTTTACTAGTGTTTAAGAGCAGTTGGAGGCTACTGAAGGAGTGTTGTATGGAATTGAAGCTCGTTTGGAGGTTTGTTAACACAGTGTCCAATGAAGGGCCAGATGTATACAAAATGGTGTCGTCTGCGTAGAGGTGGATCTGAGAGTCACCAGCAGCAAGAGCGACGTCATTGATATACACAGAGAAAAGAGTCGGCCCAAGAATTGAACCCTGTGGCACCCCCATAGAGACTGCCATAGGTCCAGACAACAGGCCCTCCGATTTGACACATTGAACTCTATCTGAGAAGTAGTTGGTGAACCAGGCGAGGCAGAAAGATTAGTATAGTAATCTCAGCTTTCATACCTCACAGTCTACAGGTACAGTACATGTCTTAGTCAGAGTGTCTGATTACATCAGTGGCAGTCAGTGCCGCTTAAGATGAGGGAGGACGATTGTTTTTTCATGAGCATGGCCTTATTTCTATTACAGCATATTGGATGACTCATTCATATTCCATTCGCCCAGTAACAGCGACAGGTTTAGGCTACTACATGATATTGACATTTTCCCTATACCCATCATGAGGTTGCTACAACCTAGCCTATGTAGGTGCACACAGGTCGAGAGACAAATTTGAGGTGACAGATATGGGTATAATAAGGGTGTAATCATTAGTCCAACAGTTGCAAACAAGAGTTTCTATTGGACACATTCAGGTATAAGGGTGTAATCATTAGTCCAACATTTGCAAACAAGAGTTTCTGTTGGACAAATTCAGGTATGTTTATCCCCTTTTTGTTCCATTTGCTTCCGTTTAAGAAACGTTTTTCAACAGAATCGGCGGAATGAATACACCCCTGATCACACTTAAACACATGTTGTATTCCTTCTTGCATCTATGCGCTCTCCTCCTCTCACCTCTTCCCTTCGCTTGTGGACTTCAATGCACAACACATCAGCTGCATGTGACCAGGTGAAAAAACCTTTCTAAGCCAAACCGCTACATCAAGCCTACATCGTTGTCACCATATTAGCTAAAGTAAAGTCATAGTCAGCATAGCTATTAGAACTAACGTGTTAGTAAACCTGCTACAATCATCCAGTAACGTTACAGTGTACCTTCAGTAAGCAGTTACACCGCCGGGCCCCGTGGCAATAAATTAGTAATACCAAAAGCTTACCTTGACTTGGAAGAGTTCCAGTGTTGTGTTGGAAAGCCATAGCCAGCTAGCTATGGCTCTGTTTGAGCAGGTTGTTTCAGTAGGCTAAACTAGCTATCTGCATTTGCTAGCTAAGTATTTGAAACTGAAAGTGAAATAAAAAAATCTCTCTATTTCTCTCTTGCTTCTCCTTAATTTTGGAAGAAATTAATTTGTTAAAAACTGTTCAACTATTGTCTTTCACTCTCTTTGAGTCAACTACTCACCACATTTTACACACTGCAGTGCTAGCTAGCTGTAGCTTATGCTTCCAGTACTAGATTCATTCTCTGATCCTTTGATTGGGTGGACATATTCAGTTCATGCTGCAAGAGCTCTGATAGGCTGGAGGACGTCCTCCGGAAATTGTCATAATTACTGTGTAAGCCTATGGAAGGGGGTGAGAACCATGAGCCTCCTAGGTTTTGTATTGAAGTCAATGTACCCAGAGGAGGACGGAAGCTAGCTGTCCTACGGCTACACCATGGTGCTAACCTACAGAGTGCTGTTGAGGCTACTGTAGACCTTCATTGCAAAACAGTGTGTTTTAATCAATTATTTGGTGACGTGATTATATTTAGTATAGTGTTATCTAAAAAGGACCACTTTTTTAATGTTTCACTATTTTATTTTATGAAATTCATTGAGGAGGATGGTCCTCCCCTTCCTCCTCTGAGGAGCCTCCACTGGATTACATGTACTGTTGCCAGACATGAGACTAACTTTATTTAGACTAACATCATGACCAAAGCCAGTATCTCAAAGCAGACAGGACATAAAGGCAGTACAGAATTAAATAGAACACTGTTGTGATATATCTATGGTAGGTAGTGACTTACAGCCTGTAGGTAGTGTTCTGCTTTCCTCAGATAGTCCTGACACTGGCCCTGAAGGATGTAGGCCTTCTGGTGGAGGCCACTGAGGGGGAACTGTCTGTAGGAGACATGGAGGGGAGGGTTATAATCAACATCTTACTGTAATCCAACAGGTCAATGTTAGGGTACCAGGCCATGAAGAGTTCACATTCAACAGGCTTCCACCAAATCTATCAAAGAAGATTTTGCAAACAAGTTGTGTGGTTGGGTTGCGTTATAGGCTACCTGAGGCCTAGGGCCTGCATGTAACAGGGGTTAGCCTGGAGCCGTTTAAGTCAGAGGTAGACGCATTTAAAATATAGCCGTTTCTGTTGCATTCTCAGATACTTGTCCCCTGCATTGAGTTTTTAAGTGTTTTTAAAACAAAAACATTGTTAACTGTTACTTTTTATCTTCGCATTTAAAGTAGTTTCATGAATATCATCATTGTTATCAGTATATCTGTCAACATCATAAATAATATAAACATCATTATCCTCATCATTATCATAATCATCTTCATCATCAAACAATATTTTAGTCAGCATCATCATCATTATCCCCATCATCATCAATTACATTTTCTGCTATGTACATCAATGATCCCAAAGGTTTACTGTAATGAGTTATTATCTTAGTGCAGCAATTAGCAAGTCTTAAGTTATCTGAGGATGCTGGGGATAATGATGATGATGCTGACTAAAATGTTGTTGTTGTTGCCCTAGTTGAATGGAGCATGAGTGCAGGGATAGGCAAAGGGGAAATGTGAGTCAAGATAAGTGTCACATTTCTCCTGTGCCATTTGCAACACAACAACACAGAGGCTGCCTAGGTGGTCGTCTCCTTGCTACAGTATAGAGGTCATGGTTACAGTTGAATATGTCTGCCTTTACACAGGCAGCCCAATTCTGATCTTTATTTCACTAATTGGTCTTTTGACCAATCAGATCAGCCTTGAAAAAGATGTGAAAAGATCTGATGTGATTGTCAAAAAAGACCAATTAGTGGAATAAAAGATCAGAATTGGGGTGCCTGTGTAAAGGCAGACATATTCAACTGTAACCATGACCTCTATACTGTAGCAAGGAGACGACCACCTAGGTCCGCTAAAACCATTGACAACTACTTGGTTTTAATATCATCACCTCTTGAAGAGCATAGTCAGAAACACATTACTGATTATTCCACATTTAGCTCTATCTTTAGAGCTATACAGCAAGTAACTGCATGTTTTTTATGATCATAGCCCATTAACTAGCCAAATTGCTGTGATCTGTTATTAGCTTGCTAGCCAATTTGACGTGCAATATTTATGCATTAGTTCTAACATTATATGACATGTATATTTCTCTCAAGGGTGAAAATTCAGTCCACAGGACTTAAAATGTACAAATTCAACAACCATGTCTCTGTCACTAACAAATACAGTCATGGGTGGTAACTCTACAATTCTCTCGAAAAGGCAAGACACACTGGGAAATGATATTGGAGCCGTGGCTTGGTGGGGGCGTGGCTTTCAATTCATTGTTTATGGCCACCTGTGAGTGGAAGAGTTGTACCAGTTTAAGTGCTCTATGGTTATGTTAATTGAAGTTTGAGCATGTCTGCTGCCAGTTCTGAAGTCTTTGTAAATGCTTACATAAGAGCATGTCGCATTAAAGACTTGTAAATATTATTGTAATGTCCTTAATCCAACACAAGCGACCTTGTCAAGAGATACAGACCTACAGTGTCTTCAGAAAGTATTCATACCCCATGATTTATTCCACATTTTGTTGTGTTACAGCCTGAATTCAAAATTGATTAAATATATTTTGTCTCACCCATCAACACACAATACCCCATAATGACAAAGTGAAAACGTGTTTTTAAGAAATGTTTGCTAATTTATTGAAAATGAAGTACAGAAATATCAAATTTACATAAGCATTCACACCCCTAAGTCAATACATGTTAGAATTACCTGGCAGCGATTACAGCTGTGAGTCTTTCTCTAAGAGCTTTGCACACCTGGATTGTACAATATTTGCACATTATTATTTGTAAAATTATTCAAGCTCTGTCAAGTTGATCATTGCTAGACAGACATTTTCAGGTCTTGCCATAGATTTGCAAGCAGATTTAAGTCAAAACTGTATCTAGGCCACTCAGGAACATTCAGTGTTGTCTTGGTAAGCAACTCCAGTGTATATTTGACCTTGTGCTTTAGGTAATTGTCCTTCTGAAAGGTGAATTTGTCTCCCAGTGTCTGTTGGAAAGCAGACAACCAGGTTTTCCTCCAGGATGTTGCCTGTGCTTAGCTCTATTCTGTTATTTTTATCCTAAAAAAAACTCCCTAGTCCTTACTGATGACAAGCATACCCATAACATGATGCAGCCACCACCATGCTTGAAAATATGAAGAGTGGTATTTAGTGATGTGTTGTATTGGATTTGCTCCCAACATAACGCTTTGTATTCAGGACTAAAGTTAATTTCTTTGTCACATCTTTTGCACTTTTGCTTTAGTGCCTTATTGCAAACAGGATGCATGTTTTGGAAAAAAAAGTATTCTGTACAGACTTCCTTCTTTTCACTCTGTCATTTAGGTTAGTATTGTGGAGTAACTACAATGTTGTTGATCCATCCTCAGTTTTCTCCTATCACAGCCATTAAAATCTGTAACTGTTTTAAAGTCAGAATTGGCCTCATGGTGAAATCCCTGAGCGGTTTCCTTCCTCTCCGGCAACTGAGTTAGGAAGGACACCTGTATCTTTGTAGTGACTGGGTGTATTAATATACCATTCAAAGTGTAATTAATAACTTCACCATGCTCAAAGGGATATTCAATGTCTGCTTTAAAAAAAATAACATCTACCAATAGGTGCCCTTCTTTGCGAGGCATTGGAAAACCTCCCTGGTTTTTGTGGTTGAATCTGTGTTTGAAATTCACTGCTCGACTGAGGGACCTTACAGATAATTGTAGGTGTGGGGTACAGAGATGAGGTAGTCATTCCAAAATCATGTTAAACTGTCACATCTACTCTTGCTCATCCCCTCCGGCATGCGACATTTCCGGAATACTAACCACCAGTCCTGGGATTCATCATTACGCACACATGGCATCCATCATTACGCGCACCTGCAGATCATTATGATTCACACCTGGACTCCATTACCTTCCTCATTACCTCCCCTTTATATGTCCCTCCTATTGTCCCTCCCTTACGTTTAGTCCTCAGTCGATATTGTTCCTGTGTTTATGCTATATCGTCACTGTTACGCTGTCTCGTTTGTTGTTTTATTAAACGTTTCACCTGCTTCTCGACTCACAGCATCATTGTTACAGAATGCCGACTCAAACCATGGAAGCAGCAGGAAATTCGAATATCTCTCAGACGGTCGATGAACAGGGTTATTTTCTACGTCAACACCATGACCAGCTGGCACAACTGGGATCGGTTATGGAGGTTCTTCGCAGTGTGTAACGTCTCAAACACACCCAGGAGGCATTGTCTTCATCCAGTGGAGGATACTCTACAACCAGTCGAGCCAGCACATCAGCCCATTCAGCAACCCGCTCAGGTAAGCGATGCCCATTTATTCCACCCCGATAAATATGACGGTACACCATCAAAATGCCGTGGCTTCCTACTTCAATGCTCTCTCTATTTTTCGTCCCTGCATTGACTACAGAGGACTCAACGAAATCACCTCAAAGTATTGGTACCCTCTCCCATTGGTGCCATCGAGCAGCTCCGCGGGTCCTGGTTCTTTACCAAACTGGACCTGCGGAGTGCATACAATCTCATCCGCATCCGGGAGAGGGATGAGTGAAAGACGGCATTTAGCACGATGTCTGGTCACCACGAGTACTTGGTAATGCCATATTGCTTAGCCAATGCTCCATCAGTGTTCCAGGCATTCGTTAACGAGGTGTTCAGGGACATGCTCGGCCGCCAGGTGGTCGTGTATATCGATGACATCCTGATCTACTCGGCTACCTTGGAGGATCACATTCACGTTCGAGCAGTCCTGGAACGCCTTCTCGCCAACCACCTGTTCGTCAAGGATGAGAAGTGCCAATTTCACCAGAGGACAGTGTCCTTCTTAGGCTACTAAATCAGTCCACAGGGTGTGAAGATGGACGACAAGAAGGTAGATGCAGTCAGGTCATGGCCAGTTCCAACCACCTTAAAGGGGTTACAACGGTTTTTGGGGTTTGCCAACCTCTACCGCCGCTTCATCAGGAACTTCAGCTCTGTCGCCGCTCCTCTCACCTCTCTCCTTAAAGGAGGGCCCCGTAGGTTGGTGTGGAACCCAGCAGCCAACGAGGCCTTCTTTCTACTCAAAGAACGTTTCACCTCCGCCTCAGTGCTCAAACACCCAGATCCCACGACATCCTTTGTGTGTGGACGCTTCAGATGTAGGCGTAGGGGCAGTTCTGTCTCAACGACAGGGTAACCCACAGAAGTTGTACCCATGTGCGTTTTACTCTAAGAAACTGTTTCCTGCAGAGAGGAATTACGATGTCTGTGATCGTGAGCTGCTGGCGATGAAGTTGGCATTAGAGGAATGGAGACACTGGCTGGAGGGCGCCAAGGAACCTTTCATAATTCTCACAGCCATCGGAATCTGGAGTACATACGGACAGCGAGGAGGCTGAGTCTGTGCCAAGCAAGGTGGGCCTTTTTCTTCACAAGGTTTGACTTCACGCTGACCTATCGCCCAGGTTCTAAGAACACCAAGGCCGACGCTCTGTCCCGGCTCTACGATTCGGGGGAGGGTCCTGTCCAGAAAGCGCCCATAAAAAAATATATTTTTATGAAGTTCTGTAATTTGTATTAAGTTGTTTAAGTTCTGTTAAAAATAATAATAATTGCATAACACCATTGGTGTAAACTACATTCACTTCCTAGTGTTAAAAATACTATTTGAGGTGGTATTGCATAACCCTAAAAGTGTTCATTACCTAACACTGAAAAAGTGTAACGTGTCAGCTCTAAGCACAGTTTAAATGTAATACTGAAAAGTGTGGACCATATACAATGGCCCAGTGTTAAATGTAAAACTGTCAGTGTTGATTTAACATTGGATAATTTGCTGTGTGTTTCATTTTCTGTAATTTTTTGGGGTTGTCAAAGTTTAGGACAGCAGGTCGTTATTCTTGGAAACAAAGACCTCTCAATGCTGCCTAATAAATTATTAACTGGGTCGGCACACACCGAGATAATACTATTTGCCCCTGCCATAGCTTAGGCTATATATGACAACGACACAGGCCTATAATTATCCCCCCGACTAAATCAAGACCTTGACATTAAAAAAAAATCATGAAATTGATGGAAATTGTTAGATGACAGTTATATAGTGCATTGCATTTATCTTCAGTGGCCTAGTTAAAATGTATACGGGCAAGTGAAAGCATTTGTTTAACTTTTTTTATTTATTTTATTTAACCTTTATTTAACCAGGAAGGGCTCATTGAGATTTAAAATCTCTTTTTCAAGAGCGTCCTGGCCAAGATAGGCAGCACCAAGTCATTACAAAAAATTACAGACAGACAACATGAAAAACTACAAGTAATCTAGTAAAAACCATTCATGAATTCACAAGAGTATAACAATATCAAAAACAGCAAATTAAAGACATTGACAGGTCAGGGAATCAGCCTCAAAATCCTTCATCAGAGATTTAAAAACACCAATCGGGACAAGTTCTTCCAGTTTAAAATTATTTTGTAAGGTGTTCCAAGACGATGGCGCAGAGTACATAAAAGACCTTTTACCAAATTCAGTTCGGACATTTGGAACAGTTAGCAGGATAAAGTCCAGTGAACGAAGAGAGTACCCACCACATTTCTGAACAATAAAAATGCCCAAATAAAAAGGTAGTAAAGCCAAAATGGCTTTGTAAATAAAAGTATACCAGTGACTGAGCCTACGAGTGACTAGAGAAGGCCAGCCAACCCTGGTATACAAAGTACAGTGGTGCGTAAGGGTTTTGCAGTTTAAAATAAATCTCAAAGTATCATGATAAAGAGTGTCAATTGATCTCAAACACTGAGCGGAAGCATTCATATATAAAATATCCCCATAGTCTAGTAAAGGCATAAATGTAGCTGATACTAGCCTCCTTATGGCTTCAAAAGAAAAACAGGCCTTATTCCTAAAATAAAATCCCAATTTCAGCTTCAATTTTTTTGTAAGTTGTTGAATATGCAATTTAAAAGAGAGGCCGTCATCAATTAGAATTCCAAGATATTTATATGAGGTTACAACCTCAATCTTAACACAGTAGCCTACAGCACAATGAATGGCCTTATGAAAAAAGAACATCATTCTTACCCCTGTCCTCCCCCACCACCTCCCATGGAAGTCTTTGAGTAGCTGTAAGTATTTTCGTCCATGTACTCCTGTCCGTATCCATTACCACCGTGCACTTCGCTCCGGGCATACTGTCCAGTTCCCCCACTCATGTCGGGCCTGGACCCGGCACTGCTGCTGACATGAAGCCCACTCTGGGACCCGTATAGACTCATCTCCGGAACCAAAAAGTTATAAAACTCAGCTGGAGAAAAATGGTGGGCAAGGTTGTAATCCTGGCTGCATTGCGCAAAAGCTGTGTGAAGCATTTGGTGGTCCCTCTCACACCTGTCTGTCCCTAGGCAGCGCAGACTGGATCTGCAAGACGGAAAAGTATCGGTTTTGGCAAAACAAGACAGACCACACCTTCATCAACCTACTTGCCTGGGGGGGGGGGGGGGGGGGGGGGGTTGAATGGAAATCAACTTTAGGTCCCAACCAGGATAGAACAACAAAACGTGTGTGTGTGCTTATGTTCCTGTGTTTTCTGTGGGAGGGTAGGCTAATGTCTCAGTGTGTCAGTCTGTTGTTGAAGATCAAGCTGAAGAAGTCTTGACACTGAAATGTTTACTGTTTCTTTCCAACAGATCACTATTGATGGAACGAATGCAGTAAGAGACTTTCAGATAAATCCCCCTGGCTAATAAACATATTGAAGGCGATCCAAAATTGGTAATCTTTAAAAAAAAGTTATGCATGTTGCACACACTTGTGACAGTTAATCTCTAATGAGATATTAATTACAACATTCATTGCAATAGCATTCATTACAGTATTCATTATAATCAAATCAACTTTAGGTCCCAACCAGGATAGAACAACAAAACGTGTGTGTGTGCTTATGTTCCTGTGTTTTCTGTGGGAGGGTAGGCTAATGTCTCAGTGTGTCAGTCTGTTGTTGAAGATCAAGCTGAAGAAGTCTTGACACTGAAATGTTTACTGTTTCTTTCCAACAGATCACTATTGATGGAACGAATGCAGTAAGAGACTTTCAGATAAATCCCCCTGGCTAATAAACGTATTGAAGGCGATCCAAAATTGGTAATCTTTAAAAAAAGTTATGCATGTTGCACACACTTGTGACAGTTAATCTCTAATGAGATATTAATTACAACATTCATTGCAATAGCATTCATTACAGTATTCATTATAATCGTTTTTGGTAACACTTAACTTGATGCCCAGAATCATAACACCTTATGACACAGTGATAACTATGTCATAACTGCTGACATAACTTGTCATAACCTGTAATAATACAGTCATAACACTGTCTTGACACATACACTACCAGTCAAAAGTTTGGACACACCCACTCATTCAAGGGTTTTTCTTTATTTTGTAACCCACAAAACCTACCACACAAGGCAAAACATTCCATTACACCATAGCCTACATGTCAACAGTATGTTTATGTTGGTTTTTATATTTTTTATTACCATATTAAAGTATCATTGTAATTGTGCACACATTGAAGTTCAGACATGCACCTACCTCGGTGCTCTGTTGCTGATGACTGGAATGAATGCAGGAGCAGATTTCAGGAGCAGGACAACACCACCTCTTTATGACTGATGACTGATATAAGGGCATGTATGTGATAGGCCTATCTAGCTTATATGATTATGATGGTCATAATGCTTCTTCACAGTGTCATAAAGTGTATTTCCTTAGTCCAAGTAAAGTGACACAGGATGGTCATAATGCTTCTTGACAGTGTTGTTGTTTAATTAATAATTTTTTCCCCCATCATATTTTAAATAACTTGTAGAAAATACACTTTATGACAAAGTATTTAAGAAACAAACTTTCAAACGAAAGGAAACTTCTTGGCAGGGAAAAAAATTATTTGAATAAAATGTGGGTTTTGACAAGCTTATGTAGGTTTCATAACCAGCCATGAAGTAACGCAATATATGTCACAACAGGTGTAAATATATGGGTCATGACAGTGTTATGACCATGTTATGACAAGTTATTACAAGTTATATCAGCTGTTATGACACATTATGACATGGTTATGACCATGGCATAACATGTTATGACACTGGGTGTCAGGTAAAGTGTTATCTAGTTTGGTAAATACTTTTATCACTATAACACATTCCTAGACACTAACAATATACAAACTCTATCCCTCACCCAAGACAGTTGGCGGCGTCCACAGGAAAAACAAGTTTGACAGCACTCTGTTACTGGTAGAGAGAACCTGCCAGTCAAGCTTACTGATGTCAATCAGCACAATAAATAATGAGTTATAACTATTTCCATCTTATCATCTTACAGTATCTTTAAAGCGGCAATCAGCAGTAGAAACAATAACAAAGCGTTTTCCCCACCCCTGGTTCAGTAAAAAGCTGAGGAATGGGACTGGAGAAATGTAAACACTTTCAGAGCTATGGATGCAAGGACTGCTTGCATTTTATTTTTTACAAAGTGTTGGGAGTAAAAAAAGCTTATATTTTGGGTTCTGATGGGGTAAGACAGTTGAACTATGCTCATGAGGCAATTCTAAGTTATAATCTTCAAGAATCAATTGGTAATTATCATTAATTTACAAGTCCAAAAATGGATGTAGCAACTGCTGATTGCCCCTTGAAAGATAATATAAAGATAATATGAAGACATTCAATCTTCAGCACTAGCTATGAGCTCTTCTAAAAGGTTAATAGTAATGTGTCTTGGTCTCAAATGTCAGTTCTGAATATAATGTTGCAGTAATGCGTTGTTTACCATGTGGGGTAGCCTATCTCGCAAACTGTACACAGACTGAACAGCCTTGATCTCTGTACCTGACATTGACCAGAACGACTCTACCCCTACGAACTCAGCAGGCTCTGAGGAGTCTCACAGCTCTTTCTGTGTGTGTAGGTGTGTGTATGCGTGTGTGCTTGCTTGCATATATGAGTGTTTATGATGATTGATTGTCAGGGTACAATGCGTGTGTGTGCATGATTCATTTATTGCAAGACTGTGTGTCTTACATTAGCTCAAACATGTAACTGCAGAATGTTGCTCCTCTGTGTGTGAGCTAGGCCTATTGCACCAAGCTGGAGACCGGGGTTATGACCCCTATGCTTGTTGACATGGAAATGCAGAGCGACATATAGTGGGGGAAAAAAGTATTTGATCCCCTGCTGATTTTGTACGTTTGCCCACTGACAAAGACATGATCAGCCTATAATTTTAATGGTAGGTTTATTTGAACAGTGAGAGACAGAATAACAACAACAAAATCCAGAAAAACGCATGTCAAAAATGTTATGAATTGATTTGCATTTTAATGAGGGAAATAAGTATTTGACCCCTCTGCAAAACATGACTTAGTACTTGGTGGTAAAACCCTTGTTGGCAATCACAGAGGTTAGACGTTTCTTGTAGTTGGCCACCAGGTTTGCACACATCTCAGGAGGGATTTTTTTCCACTCCTCTTTGCAGATCTTCTCCAAGTCATTAAGGTTTCGAGGCTGACGTTTGGCAACTCGAACCTTCAGCTCCCTCCACAGATTTTCTATGGGATTAAGGTCTGGAGACTGGCTAGGCCACTCCAGGACCTTAATGTGCTTCTTCTTGAGCCACTCCTTTGTTGCCTTGGGCGTGTGTTTTGGGTCATTGTCATGCTGAAATACCCATCCACGACCCATTTTCAATGCCCTTGCTGAGGGAAGGAGATTCTCACCTGTTCCCTTAGCAGAAAAACATCCCCAAAGCATAATGTTTCCACCTCCATGTTTGATGGTGGGTATGGTGTTCTTGGGGTCATAGGCAGCATTCCTCCTCCTCCAAACACGGCGAGTTGAGTTGATGCCAAAGAGCTCCATTTTGGTCTCATCTGACCACAACACTTTCACCCAGTTCTCCTCTGAATCATTCAGATGTTCATTGGCAAACTTCAGACGGTCCTGTATATGTGCTTTCTTGAGCAGGGGGACCTTGCGGACCTGCAGGATTTCAGTCCTTCACGGCGTAGTGTTTTACCAATTGTTTTCTTGGTGACTATGGTCCCAGCTGCCTTGAGATCATTGACAAGATCCTCCCGTGTAGTTCTGGGCTGATTCCTCACCGTTCTCATGATCATTGAAATTCCACGAGGTGAGAACTTGCATGGAGCCCCAGGCCGAGGGAGATTGACAGTTCTTTTGTGTTTCTTCCATTTGCAAATAATCGCACCAACTGTTGTCACATTCTCACCAAGCTGCTTGGCGATGGTCTTGTAGCCCATTCCAGCCTTGTGTAGGTCTACAATCTTGTCCCTGACATCCTTGGAGAGCTCTTTGGCCATGGTAGAGAGTTTGGAATCTGATTGATTGATTGCTTCTGTGGACAGGTGTCTTTTATACAGGTAACAAACTGAGATTAGGAGCTCTCCCTTTAAGAGTGTGCTCCTAATCTCAGCTCGTTACCTGTATAAAAGACACCTGGGAGCCAGATATCTTTCTGATTGAGAGGGGGTCAAATACTTATTTCCCTCATTAAAATGCAAATGAATTTATAAAATTTTTGACATGCGTTTTTCTGGATTTCTTTGTTGTTATTCTGTCTCTCACTGTTCAAATAAACCTACCATTAAAATCCTTCCTTCCATCTCCAAAAATGTACTAACTTTTAATAGCAGCAGTGTGGGTGGATTGATTTATGTAAGCTATAACTTGGAGTCGTGGAGTTTTTTCATATAGAAGACCAATTCAGTACCACCCTTATAATCACTAGGCTATAGACGGGTTGGTTGTTTAGCAACAAAACCAACACATGCGCAACTATGGGGTAAAACAGACGGGGTTGGCTTAGATTGTTGACAACATGTAAACTATATTTTGTCTCCAATGTTTATTGAAAACATAAATACATTTGGACAAAGAGCACTTGTTGTCTCAAATACATAGTTACCGTTTGGTTAGCTAGCTAGCGAATTTTAGCCATATTAGCACTAACATGAAATCAGTCAAAACCTCAAAACAATACATGGTATCAAGAAGAAGATACAACTAGCTGAAACAAGCCACATGGACGTTTCTTGTCATTGTTGCTAGCTATCTGGCCATCCAGAATCACAACAACACATGAACTTCTGCCCCATTGAAGCGTGTGCATCGTTGTCTGCTAACCCATCTACATGCCTGTTGGCGAATATAAAAACAAAATAAAACACGTCCTGCCTGTGTGTGCACAAATGAAC